TTAAATTTTTTAAATTAATTTAAATATTTGGATTTCCTGGTGAAGTCCTTACAAAGGCTCGATTTAAATTATTTAACTTATTTAAATTATTTAAATTATTTAAATCCCCGAAAACCCTTTTGACAATTTAAATAATTTAAATAATTTAAATCCTCTGGAGAGCTTCCCCAGGAAACCCCAATATATAAATTAATTTAAATAATTTAAATAATTTAAATAATTTAGATAATTTAAATAGGGCCATTTAATTTATTTAAATTATTTAAATCCCCGAAAACCCTTCTGACAATTTAAATAATTTAAATAAATTAAATGGCCCTATTTAAATTATTTAAATTATTTAAATTATTTAAATTATTTAAATTAATTTAAATATTTGGATTTCCTGGTGAAGTCCTTACAAAGGCTCGATTTAAATTATTTAAATTATTTAAATTATTTAAATCCCCGAAAACCCTTTTGACAATTTAAATAATTTAAATAATTTACATCCTCTGGAGAGCTTCCCCAGGAAACCCCAATATTGAAAATAAATTAAATAATTTAAATAATTTAAATAATTTAAATAATTTAAATAGGGCCATTTAATTTATTTAAATTATGTAAATCCCCGAAAACCCTTTTGACAATTTAAATAATTTAAATAAATCAAATGGCCCTATTTAAATTATTTAAATTATTTAAATTATTTAAATTGTTTAAATTAATTTAACTATTTGGATTTCCTGGTGAAGTCCTTACAAAGGCTCGATTTAAATTATTTAAATTATTTAAATTATTTAAATCCCCGAAAACCCTTTTGACAATTTAAATAATTTAAATAATTTAAATCCTCTGGAGAGCTTCCCCAGGAAACCCCAATATTTAAATTAATTTAAATAATCTAAATAATTTAAATAATTTAAATAATTTAAATAGGGCCATTTAATTTATTTAAATCATTTACATCCCCGAAAACCCTTCTGACAATTTAAATAATTTAAATAAATTAAATGGCCCTATTTAAATTTTTTAAATTATTTAAATTATTTAAATTAATTTAAATATTTGGATTTCTTGGTGAAGTCCTTACAAAGGCTCGATTTAAATTATTTAAATTATTTAAATCCCCGAAAACCCTTTTGACAATTTAAATAATTTAAATAAATTAAAGGGCCGTATTTAAATAATTTAAATTATTTAAATTATTTAAATTATTTAAATTATTTAAATTAATTTAAATATTTAGATTTCTTGGTGAAGTCCTTACAAAGGCTCGATTTAAATTATTTAAATTATTTAAATAATTTAAATTATTTACTTTCACTTTCACATACACAAGCAAGCATAGAAGCAAAATAGACCCGAAAGGTTTTTCTCTCATATATATATATACATCTTTAGTATATGCAGATAGATACACACCCTATTCACCTCTCCCCCCCGCCCCTTCAGCTCAGAACCTGAAAACCCCGCAAAAGCCTTCTCAACCTCTGAACCACGCAGCCCCAAAGCCCTATAAAATTCCAAAGCCGAAGACGGGTTTAGGGTTTAGGGTTTGGGGCTCGGGGTTCGGGGTTGAGGGTTTAGGGTTTAGGGTTTAGGGTTTAGGGTTTAGGGTTTAGGGTTTAGGGTTTAGGGTTTAGGGTTTAGGGTTTAGGGTTTAGGGTTTAGGGTTTAGGGTTTAGGGTTTAGGGTTTAGGGTTTAGGGGTTAGTGTTTAGGGTTTAGGGTTTAGGGTTTAGGGTTTAGGGTTTAGGGTTTAGGGTTTAGGGTTTAGGGTTTAGGGTTTAGGGTTTAGGGTTTAGGGTTTAGGGTTTAGGGTTTAGGGTTTAGGGTTTAGGGTTTAGAGGGTCTCTCCTCTCAACAGCCCCCCTTGCAGCGGGGCGGCTCACTTCGCGGACTTCCTCTTGCAGCCGCTGGATGCTGCCTCGCTGGGCCATCCTTGGGACATCAGTCAAACTTTCCACAGGATGAAGGATTACAATATATATATATATATGTGTGTATGGAGATATTTACATATATAATGATATGAAACCACGCAACCTAATGCAACAGGATGTGCTGCCGCCCCCCCCCCCCCCCCCCCCGCAGTCAGAGCGCCAAAGCTCGCGCAGGGTCCCCCACGACGTCGCGCGCCTTCCGGGCCCCGTTTCACACAAGCCCGTCTGCACCGAGCTCGGACGCTGGCCCAAAGCTCGTGCCCCTCATGTCCCTCCCGTCCCGAAAGCTCGCACCCCCCGCGCCGCAGCTCTGGAAGTGTTGGCGCAGAGAGCCTGTCTGCCACACGCAGAAGGCATCAAACAACTTGGGACTGCTCCGACTGCAGTCCGACTGTGCCAGGGCAAAAGTGAGTTCACAACTACCCTGAACGACACTATGTGGCTGGTGCTGAAAACAAGATCTCTCTTCCTCTTACTTGTCCGCAGTCTTGCGGATCCGGCGGACGGTGCCTAATGGTGGTTGGGGGGCTCTTGGCAGCCTTGAACTGCGTAGCATCAGTATCAAGGAAGGGAGACGAGTGCGCCCACAATCTTCCTCGCAGGTCAGAGCACTGGGCCAGGCACTGGACGTGCCGAGACAGCCTCCCCAGAGCGTTTCTTTACAGCATCCCTGCCAGCGAGAGCGACACATGCAGTTGCAGAGAGCATAACAGCAACACGGCGGGTGTAAACACCAATGCCAAGCACATCAACTCCAATCGGTTCTCCACTGTGCTCCAATCGTCGCTGCACCGTGCATCTGAATGTGCTTCGCCTGTTTCAGATCGTCCCGTTGGAGCCAGGGTCTGGCCGAGCTTGCGCCGGCGTGTAGATGGCCGTCCCGTGGGGTCCCGTCGCCTGTTCCTCGCAGTGTCCCCCGTCCCGTGCCCGTCTCGTAGGCTCCCGCTGCAACGCACGCATGATGCCTCGCGTCCCTCCCATCCCGGGCCCGTCCCGTGATTTTCCGCCCGCGCCCGCCTCTACCCAACCTTCGACAGGTTTGGCGCATAAGGCCAGACCGAGGCATTCGGAAAATCAACAGAGGAAACGGCTCCCCAGCTCTCAGAACAGCGCGAGATGGGACTTGTCAGGTACTGGTACCGGGGAGTGGAGGGGCGGATGCCTACAACAATCCCTACGCAATCCCCATGTACCCCTTCTTGCAGTGCCTGTTTCCACTTTCCCCCCCTTGGAGCACCAGCAAGTACAGCGGAGGTCAGAAGGTGCATGAGTATTCAACACTAAACCCAAACCCTTAAACCCTTACACCCTTAAACCCTTAAACCCTGAAACCCTCAAGCCTTTAAACCCATAAACCCTCAAGCCCCTAAAACCTTAAAACCTGAAACCCTCAAGCCCTTCAACCCTTAATCCCTAAACCCTAAACCCCTAAACCCTCAAGCCCCTAACCCCTTAAACCCTTAAACCCTTAAACCCTTAAACCCTAAACCCTAAACCCACCAAGTCTAAAGCCCAGCGTCTGCATCTCGACGAGGTGCTGCGCCTCTTCCACGTTGGTCTCGGCAGGCTAGAAAAAGGGGTTAGGGCCTTTTAGGGTTCAGGGTTTAGGGTTTAGGGCTTAAAGGGTTTCGGGGTTTAGGGATTTATTTTGGGGCTTAGGGTTTAGGGTTTAGTGTTTAGGGTGTAGCACCGGTCAGCTGGACGCGATAGTTTGAAGACATGCCCACCCCAAGGCCACCCAATCACAACTCACGGCAAAACCAAGCCGGAGCCAAAACCAGCCAGCCATTCAACATTTTTCTGCGTCGGATTAGCTACATGGCGAAAGTGTGGTTATGAAATGAGGCCTTATGAAAAACATGCCCAGAAGCTTGTGTTCAGGACATGTAAAGAAACTGCAGCCAAAAAAAATTAGGTTTTGCGTTGGGGGAGTTTTCGGCCGGAGGGCCTTCTCATTGTTTTCTTTTTTCTCTATGTCGGATTGTCGAGCGGGTTTTTTCGAAGCTTTGCGCAACATAGTCAGAAGTTTCCGAGTTAAAGGCTCAGAAATGGTCTGGGAGAAGCCCAAAGAAACTCAGAAATGGTCTGGGGGCAGCCCAGAATCCCAGAAATCCCAAAAAAGTTGGTCTGGGAGAAGCCCAACTAAGCTCAGAAATTGGGGGGGGGGCAGCCCGAAGCTCAGAAATGGTCGGGTGAAGCCCAGAAAAATTCTGAAATGGTCTGGGAAAAGCCCAGAAGCCCAAAAAGGCTCCAAGAAACTGTCCGGGAGAAGCTCTAAAAGGTGCAGAAAAGGCTCAGAAACTGTCCTGGAGCTCAAAAAAAAGGTGCAGAAACTGTCCGGGAGGAACCCCAAAAGGCTCAGAAACAAAAAGGCTCAGAAACTGTCCGGGAGGAACCTCGAAACTGTGCGGGAGAAGCCCAAAAAGGCTCAGAACCTGTCCGGAAGGAGCCCAAAAAGGCTCAGAAACTGTCCAGGAAAAGCCCAAAAAGGCTCAGAAACTGTTCGGGAGGAGCCCAAAAAGGCTCAGAAACTGTCCGGGAGGAGCCCAAAAAGGCTCAGAAACTTGTCCGGGAGGCCAAAATGGCTCAGGAACTGTCCGGAAGGAGCCCAAAAAGGCTCAGAAACTGTCCGGGAGAAGCCCAAAAAGGCTCACAAACTGTCCGGGAGGAGCCCCAAAAAGGCTCAGAAACCAGGGCCGAAAGGGGCAGGAGACGCCCCCGCCTCCCGCGAGCAAAAAAGTGTGGGGTTTAGGGTAATACAATATATCCGTGACAGTGCTAGGCGACTCTAGCTAGGCGACCCTCTCAGGGGTGTGCCTGGTAGGCTCTGCAGCCCAGCAGAGCCTGCCGTGGTCTCGCTGAGCGCTCGACTGCGCCCGCCTACCCCAACAGAGGTGAGAGGGGTGGCGGGCGGGTGTAGGGTTTAGGGTTTAGGGTTTAGGGTTTGGGGTTTGGGGTTTAGGGTTTAGGGTTTAGGGTTTGGGGTTTAGGGTTTAGGGCTTGAAAAAGGCGAGTTTGGGGGACTGGGGGTTCCTCAGCCTGCAACTTACATGGGGATTTCCCGGTGTACCTTATTGGGTCCTTCTTGAAAGGGGATCCTACTATCTGGGGGTTTGTAGAAGGGTCCCTTTTTTGCGTAAAACCCCCGCATGAACGCTGAGCTTCGCTAAGTCTGGAGCCTAAAATGGTAAAAGCGTCAAGGCCCCAAAGAGAAGCTGTCAAGGAACAGCCCTGAACCCGCAAAAACTCTAGAACTGCCCTAAACCCTAAACCCTAAGCCCTAAGAGCTAAATCCAAAGCCCAAACCCTAAACCCTAAACCCTAAACCCCTAAACCCCTAAACCCTCAACCAAAACTCTGGCCCCCAGTAGGGCGCCGCGTGGCCTCGCTGCGGACCTCGAGGTCCCGTGCCCGCGCGGACAGCGCGGCGGCCTCGTTCGGGTGTCGGGCCTTAACCCCAAAAGCCATATAAGTTGAACGGGCAGAAAATCCTTCATGAAAGATCTGGGACCCACCTCTCTCCCAAAACCTCACCGAAATTCCCGCCCAAACCCAACCAAAAGAGGCCCCAAAAAACGCCCCCAAAAGAGGCCCCAAACCCACAGGCGCTCCCCTAAACCAGAGCTCGCTCATCCCACCTGCGACTTCAGCTCCGGAGCGGCACTTTGGAAGCCCCGGCAGAGTGAGAGCAGGTCGGCTTCCTCCACCTCAAGGGGAGGGGTTTGGGTTCAGGGTTCTAAGGGGGGTTTTGGCTCAAGGGGGGTTTAGAGTGAGGGGGTGGGCTGCCTGAAAGGTTTTTCTCGCAGCCCCTTTTAGCCTCTGCCCCAGTGCCTCCAGCATGGCTTGCGTCACCCTGAGCTCATCCAAGCTGGGGCCTTCCTCCAGAAGGGGTCTACAATCTGAGTTAAGGCCGTTCAGCGCTGGGCCTGGGGGTATTTAAGCTTCGAGGCCTGAAGCTCTTGCAGCTATGAGGTTGGAGGAGACGGGGTAGCTTCATGCGCAAACTATGCTAGGAGGAGCACCACAGGATGCTGGGGATCTGAGAACTTTTGCGCGGCTCGGGCGGCCTCCGAGGGCTTTCGCGCGCCCATGGCTTCGGCCTCCTTACAGCGGCAGAGATGCTTCTGGGTGTAGAAAGGGGACAGGTTGAGTAGGGGTAGTGTGTAGAGGAGCTTAGGTCAGTAAAGACATGGGTCGACTCATTGGAAAGGCGGAAGAAGTTCTTTCTGCTTCTTGGGTGTGTCTCATCCTGGGCCCACCCTCACTAGCAATCGGGGTTTAGAGTTCCAGGTTTAGTGTGTTTTGTTTGAGATTTAGGGTTCCACTCCATGCTCTAATCCTTTCTCCCTCAAAGCCCTACACCCAATACGCCAAACAGTATAAACGAAACACCCCACCCCAAAGCCCAAAAAGCTCCCTAAACCCTAAACCCTAAACCCTAAACCCCAAACCCCAAAACCCTGCACCCAACCAAAAGGCCCCTAGTCCCTCCACTCCCTCAACCTTAAAACGCCTTCAACTCAAAGCCCCCAACTAGGGTTTAGGGTTTAGGGTTTAGGGTTTAGGGTTTAGGGTTTAGGGTTTAGGGTTTAGGGTTTAGGGTTTAGGGTTTAGGGGTTAAGGGTTTAGAGTTTAGGGTTTAGGGTTTAGGGTTTAGGGTTTCAAGGCCGGGCGGCACACTCCCAGGATTCCATGCCCTCCTCCGCGCGGCGCGTTTCGCCGCGCAGCGTCTGCAGCCGCCTGGGTTTAGGGTTTAGGGTTTAGGGTTTAGGGTTTAGGGTTTAGGGTTTAGGGTTTAGGGGTTTAGGGAATTAGGGGTTTAGGGTTTAGAGTTTAAGGTTTAGGGTTTTTGGGATTTCAGGGTGGGACGGCTTTGGGGTCTGTAGGGTTTAGGGCTTCGGGTTCAGGCGGGTTGGGAGCAGGATTTGCTGTGGTGGCTCAGGGTTTGTATAAGGTTTCGGGCCCTAAACCAAGAACCTGCCTGGTGCGACAGTTCGTTGTCATTCGGGGACTGCTCCAAGCTATCGGTGCCGCTATGCAAAAAATGTATGTATATGTGGATACAGATATAGATATTATATATATATATATATACATAGTGTTGATCTGTAGTTTATGTTCAACTTGCAAAACCCCTAAGCCCAAACTCTTATCCCCATGTCGCAGAGTGCCTGCTTTGGGCGCTGAGTCGCATCGCGGTGCTCACGGAAGCCTCCTGCACGTGAGATTTTGGGGTTTAGGGTTTAGGGTTTAGGGTTTAGGGTTTAGGGTTTAGGGTTGATCTAAGAATGATTCACCACACCCCAAACCCATACCCCTTTACCTATAAAAGGACATTATAAGGGAGTCTAAGGGAGGATATTACCATACCCTTTCATTTCCTTTTAAGGGTATGCCCAGGGGTATGTTGAATCTTTCTTAGGATTTACAGGGCTTAGGATTCAGGGCTGAGGGGCTTTAAGGCTCCGGGCTCAAGGGCTAAGGTCTCAGACTTTGCCTTGGCCCACACCCTCAAACCCGAAACACATACATCCCGAACCCTAAACCCTAAACCCTAAACCCTAAACCCTAAACCCTCAACCCTAAACCCCAAACCCCCCCAAACCCCGAAAAAACTCCCCAAACCCCCCCCCCCCCAAACTCCCTAAACCCGACACATCCTGAACCCAAAGCCCCCAAGCCCCCAAAACCCTGAACCCCAAACCACTCCAACACCCCCAAGCCCGAAACTTGGGAATGTGACGAGAGTATCTTGGCCTTGTATGTTGAGATACAATTGGGATGATAAGCGCGCTAACTACTTGTTTGCTTTTGGCTGACTGTACATCGGGAGGGTGCAGAAAAGCGCTTCTCAAGATGCAACAGAAAGGAGTCTTTGGTCCCAAATCCGATCCGCTTATACTCACAGCCCTTGCGGGGGATTATCGTACCCCCCTATGATAATCCCGATTAAGGGCTGTTAGTACAAGGGGGAACCCAAAAACCCCAAACCCCTGAACCCTAAACCCTAAACCCTTTCAAGAGCCCCTAAACCCTAAACCCTAAACCCTGAACCCTAAACCCTAAACCCTGAACCCTGAACCCCTTGAAAAAAAAAAACAGAAGTCCTCGAGGTGCCTCGCCTGCTGCTGGAGGTGCGCGAGCTCCTCCTGCCGGCCCTCCTTCCAGGGTTTCGGTTTAGGGTGTAGGGTGTAGGGTTTAGGGTTTAGGGTTCAGGGTTTAGGGTTTAGGGCTAGGGGTTTAGGGTGTAGGGTGTAGGGTTTAGGGTTTGGGGTTTAGGGTTTGGGGTTTGGGGTTTGGGGTTTGGGGTTTGGGGTTTGGGGTTTGGGGTTTGGGGTTTGGGGTTTGGGGTTTGGGGTTTAACTGCGGCGGTTTGGGGTTTTGGGGGCTTTAGGGGTGCTTCAACTGGGGTTTGGGCTTATAGGGTCCAGTGCCTGTAGCAAAACCGCCCTAAACACCTCAGCATTCTTGCTTCAGGTCTTCGAGCTTGTCGTGCAGGATCTCGGGTTGAGGGGCAAAGGCGTAGGGTTTGTTGTCAAGGGCGTCTTGGCGTAGGCCAGGAGAACGCAGCTGCAGCTACTTGTTTCTGAGACCTCCCCCCCCAGTCCCTTGAAGATACCGTCAGCAGACTCGCACAAAGGTGCCCTCCTCGCTTTAAGGGGTGGTTAGGGCTGCAGGCCGACCCATACACTTCTCCAAACCCTCAGCTCCCCGAAATTTGAGCCCGAAAAGCCCTAAAGCTCCTAAAGCAACTTCAGGTTCTTCGGCTGCTCGGCTCAACCGGGCTTTCCCCCAAGCCACATGACGAGAAGCACTGGCGTGAACCCCTCGACCGCTACTACTTCCTGCCTGCTCTCGCGAAGCCCACGTTTCGCTATCGGCACGGAGGAGGTGGTCCGCAATGGATGACTGGCGGGGGGAGGGGGATTGGAGGGTTGGAGCGTTTCGAGTTGGCGGCTTCGGGTATTGGGGTTTTTGGGGGGGGGGGTTCGTGTCTGGCCTAGACAAACACCCTGCGCGTCAGCTTGAGAGGTGTGGGGTTTTCAGCTGCAGAGACCCATAAAGCCAAGGGACCCCTAAGCCCTAAACCCTAAAGCATGAAAAAGCTTTAAAACATACAAACAAACCAAACCCCCCCCCCCCAAAGGCCTCCTGGCCCACCCCCTAACACCTTAAGGGCAGCCTCCGCGTGCAGTCGAAGCAGCTCCGGGCCCACCTGCTCCGTCAGGTTGTGAAGTTTTGGGAGATTTGGAGTTTAGGGGGGGTTTAGGGTTTGGGGTTTAGGGTTTAGGGTTTAGGGTTTCGGGTTAGGGTTTAGGGTTTAGGGTTTTGGGTTTAGGGGGTTTTGGGTTTAGTGAGTGAGGGCTGTGGGGATTTGAGGTGTTTCAGTCAGGGCCGAAAAGGGGGCAATGCTTTAGGCGACCCAAAAAAACCGCAATTCCCATCATCAACAAAGACCCCACGCAAGGGTACCCCGAGACCCCACAAGGGATTTACAGCTTAAACCAATGATGATCCCTACAAGGCTCCACAGCTTGAACCAATTGGGGGTTTCCAGGGGTACCTTCTCGGGGTCCTTAATTTCAGGAATCCTACCATTTGGGGGTCCAAGATTTCTGCCTTTCCAAAAGGCCCTAGCAGTCCTCTCCTGCCCAAGGAGGTGGCTTGGGATTCCTCGCGCTTCCTCAAGCCTGAACCCTAGGTCGACCCTAGTAGCCCTAAACCCTAAACCCTAAACCCTAAACCTTAAACCCTAAACCCTAAACCCTGAATCCTAAACCCTAAACCCTAAACCCTAAACCCTAGACCCTAAACCCGACCCTCAAAACTTAAAACTCAGAGCCCTTTAGGCATGTTTGGAGCTCAGGGCCGCAGCGCCTCCACGGGCGCCAGGCGGGGATCAAAGGGAGACACGCCCAGCTTTCGCCTGAGCGTTTCAAGGGTTTAGGGTTTAGGGTTTAGGGTTTAGGGCTTATATAGGGCTTAGGGTGGGCTTCTTGAACCCCTCAAGCCCTAAACCCCCCTAAACCCCCCTTCAACCTAACCCTAACCCCCCCCCCCCCCAAATGCCCCGCTTAAAACGCCCCGCTTAAAACGCCCGCTCAAAACGCCCCGCTTAAAAACCGCCTTAAAACGCCCCTAAACCCCCCCCCCCCCAACCTCCCCCTACACCCCCAAACCGCAGATCTGAGGTTCAAAAAACTTGTGGACGTCAGGTGTGTAGGGCTAGCTGAACATAGACTTCGAGAGAACGTGACGCGTTGGCTGTGAGTCATGTAGGGTCTTTAGGGTTTAGGGGCCCTAAACCCTGAACCCTAAACCCTAAACCCTAAACCCTGACCCTAAACCCTAAACCGTTGTTGGGAGACAACTCCAGGAGAAACCGCGTCTGGGGCGCAGCTTCGCCACCACTCCTCGCCACAGCTGCCCCTTCCTCGGGTGCATCGGGGCGGCGAGCCGAACTCTTAAGGCCACAAGAGCCCCCAATACGAGCCCTAAACCCCTTAAATGCCCACTTAAACCCCTCAAACCCCTTAAAGCCCATAAACCCCATACACCCTCTTAAACCCCAAAGCCGAATCCCTGAACTCCGCGCCCGAGAGTTCGGAGCTTCGCCGTCTTCGTTCTTGAACTCAGCTTCCTTAAGGCCGCCACCCCCCTCTCAACAACAAATCGCCGGAAAGCCATGGGCCTTGAAGCTATCATATAGGGCAAGTATCCTCCTCTCATCCCCCCAAAATACTCGCTCTACTGACCTCGGCCGGATTGTGGGGGACACCTCGAAAAAGCATGGACTGCCATCTGACTTGGGCCCGGGGAACTTGAAGAGCTTCTTCCAAGCCAAATCCTAAATCCTCGACCCTAAACCCCAAACCCTGCAAAAATCGACTCCGCACAGCCCCCTCCCCCTGCCAAAAAAAAAGACTCTGCACAGCCCCTAAACGGCCAACAGAAGATGTGACTTCGGGCGGCCGCCGCGCAACGTCGAGCCGCCGCCGCAGGGCCCGCGTGGAGGCCAGGAGGTCAGCCCTGTGTTCAGGGTTTAGGGTTTAGGGTTTAGGGTTTAGGGTTTAGGGTTTAGGGTTTAAGGTTTAGGGTTTAGGGTTTGGGGTTTAGGGTTTAGGGTTTAGGGTTTAGGGTTTAGGGTTTAGATGTTCTGAGGGTTTGGGGGGGGTTTTGGGGAGGAAGGTTCAAGGGTTTGGGGCTTAGGGCTTATCATTATTGCTTTGGGGTTTAGGGTCCATGGTTTGCGGACTTATGGTATAAGGCTTGTGGGTTCGAACACCTTAAATCCGAAGCCTTGTTTGTCAGCTTCAAGATTGCAGGGATTCAGGACATGGGCATCGAGTGGCCGGGTGCACAATGTACTGGACGCCGTCTCTGCGTGAACGCTGCAAACCTTGGAGCCCAAATAGCCGAAAGCCCTGCAGCCCCAAACAGACCTCTAAACCCTTAAACCCTAGACCCGAAACCGAACCCATTATGGGGGGGTTTGGGGCGCAGCCCCAAACAAACCAACCCTTCTTGACCCTAAACCGAACCCATTGTGGGGGTTTGGGGTTGCCTGGGCTGAGGCTCAGGGCTTGGGGTGCCCCGAAGTGCCCTGAGGATCCCATCACCTGAGCTGCTCCGCCGCTGCCAGCTCGCGCGTGAGGTCCAGCGACGAAAAGGCATCCATGCAGAAGAGGGGAGGGGAGGGTTTAAACCCTAAACCCTAAATCCTAAACCCTAAATCCTAAGCCCTAAACCCTAAGCCCTAAACCCTAAACCCTAAACCCTAAACCCTAAACCCTAAACCCTAAACCCTAAACCTTAGGGGCTTGGCAGCTTCAGGGCTTTTGAGGCAGCATAGGGGCTTCAACAGGCAGTCTATGGGTTTGGGTTGAGGGGGCAGCTCTCTAATTTCTCCCTCTCTTGTGGGGTTCCTCCCACAAAGGGTTTAGGGTTTAGGGTTTAGGGTTTAGGGTCTAGGGTTTGGGGTTTAGGGTTTGGGGTTTGGGGTTTGGGGTTTGGGGTTTGGGGTGTCTTCCCTACATGCTACTTCTCGAGCTCCCACATTGCGCTGTGCTAACTGGAGGACGCACTGCATCGCAGCTCGCTCAGGCTTTGAGGGACCTTTCCAGATCCCGCACCCTGGCAACATCAAAAAACCCTCAACTTCCTCGGAGCTGCTCCAAACTGGGCCAAGCCCCATAAAAAAATGCCCGAACTCTCCACCCAGAAAACCTCCCAAACCACAAACCTGCCCCTTCCGAACCACGCCGGCCTCTGAAATGTCTTGGGGAACCTGAAAAACCCCCTAAACTCTAAACCCTAAACCCTAAACCCTAAACCCTAAACCCTAAACCCGTTGGCAGTCGCTGATCCCTGAAAAGCCAGGGCGGACCCTCTCCTCCATCATCGCATGGGCGACGTCATCCCCTGGCTTCTTCTTTGAAAAGTAGGGTTTAGGGTTTAGGGTTTAGGGTTTTGGGTTTTGGGGTTTGGGGTTTGGGGTTTGGGGTTTAGGGTTTAGGGTTTAGGGTTTTGGGTTTAGGGTTTTGGGGTTTGGGGTTTAGGGTTTAGGGTTTAGGGTTTAGGGTTTAGGGCTTAGGGTTTAGGGTTTACTGTTTAGGGTTTAGGGTTTAGGGTTTTGGGGTTTGGGGTTTGGGGTTTGGGGTTTAGGGTTCAGGGTTTAGGGTTTAGGGTATATGGCGCTTGGTTTAGGGTTTAGGGTTTAGGGTTTAGGGTTTAGGGTTCAGGGTTTAGGGTTTAGGGTTTAGGGTTTAGGGTTTAGGGTTTAGATCCCCCTCTTGCCAAACCCGTTGGGGGGGGCTTCCGAAGATCTTGGGTCTGGGGTTTATGGGAAGAAGCGGGGGAGATACCGTTTCTTGGGGTCCCCGTCTAAAGGGGATTCCAGTATCTTTTTGGGGCGAGAAGTGGTATCCCTGTCTTGGGAAATGGCCGTCAGAAGGTGAGACGGAGGCGAAAGGAGCAGTTGAACCCAACCCTCAACCTAAACCCTAACCCATCAACCCTAAACCCACTCTGGAGACGCAAGCTCTTCTCATTGGGGGCCCCTGCACCCCAACCCGAAAACCTCCGGAACCCCCCGCACAGTCAAGGCTTTAGGGTCTCTCCGGTACCCATAAGAATCCATTTCCAGAAGCCCTCTCAACCGCCTTGTTGTCCGACCAGGCTTCTACCCTTCAAAACTTGAACCCCCCAAACCCAAGAGCCTGAAAAGCCTTCCCCCAAACCCACGAACCCCTACAAGCCCCAAAATCGTCCCAAAACCCACCGAGCCTTGGGCATGCGCTGCACGCCCCCATGGCTTTGGGCATTTCTGGGTGGCTCTAGGTTTCTAGGGCGTTCGGGATTTAGGGTTTAGAGTCACCAGGGTTTAGGGTTCAGGGTTTGGGGTTTAGGAGGGGGCTGAGGGCTGCGAGGTGTTGGAGGTTGGCTTTGGAGTCGAGGGAGGGCTCAGGGACTCAGGGTTGGGGGACTAAGTGGGCTCCGCCCGCGCGTTGAGCACGTGGCTGGCGGCATCCCGTGCATCGGACCATGCCGAGAATGCCCTAAGAGAGTACGAGAGCCGAAGGAGGGAACCCTTGCAAGGGAGCCCTGAACCCTAGGGGTGATAAAGTGGGGCTATTTTTGGGGGGGCCTACTCCGATGTAGCATCCCAGAACTTCAGCGCGAAGCGCCGTGGTGTTCTACACAGCATCCCCGGCGCCCGCCAATCACCACCTCGGCCACAGAAGCCAAGACCCGGGCGCGAAGGCGAGTAACACAACTACTCTCAGAACTGAGAAGCATGCTTCAATGAATGCTGCAGCCTGGAGCCTTAACTCCACCGGATTCTTCCTCCGGGCAGCGGTTTTGCCCCCCGCAAGCTGAGGCAACTTTTGCACAGTGTAGGCTCCTGGTGCGCCGTTGCGTTGCCCAATGCCCGGGTCCTCGGACAAGCAAGTGGCACGACACAAGCGTGCACTTCATCTGCTTGTGCTTCAGCCCCATCATCGCTCCAAGGACACCAAGGGGCATTCCATTCCTTCATTCAGGGTTTCTTAACGTTAAAAAACCCTAAAAGAAACCTGAATGGGTTTTTTTAACGTTAAAAAAACCCTAGTTACTAGCATGGTGCTTCGTCTTGGGCTTGGCCAGGCTTCTGCGAGCCCCTGCTGCCTGATGGGCGACTCGCAAGAAAGAAACCCTCTCTTCCGGTCTGCGCTTGCTAGCCCTGTGTTCGTCGTGCCTTTCCTTTGGAACATTTTGTAGCCGCTCCTTCACAGTTCTAAGCGCACGGGGGGGGCGGTTTGAGACGTGAGGCGGGCAAGCGCTCCTCGAGCATTTAGCATGGGAGAGTCTGTCTGTGATCCTAGAAGTAGCGTCTGGGCAAGCAACATGCGCCAAGTGCTGAGCTGGGCTGGCTTATCCTTGCCAACGCCACCGCCGACGAATCCACAAAGCCCGGCCCGGCTCTTCGCCCACCCAGGGTTCAGGGCCATATCAAAAACCCCAACCGAAACTTCAGTCCTAAACATGCGACGGAATTGAAGTTGGGAGGCGCCCCCTTTCATGTCTTCCGGCACGTTTCCTGGTCAGAGTTCACCGCGGCACCGCAGAGCGCTTCAAGCTCGGTCGCCTTTCTGCCACCGGCTTTGCTTCTGTTATTCGGGTTTTAAGGGCAGGGTTTAGGGTTTTGGGTTTAGGGTTTAGGGTTTAGGGCTTGGGGTGGGTTTCTTTCTGCCACCGGCTTTGCTTCTGTTATTCGGGTTTTAAGGGCAGGGTTTAGGGTTTTGGGTTTAGGGTTTAGGGTTTAGGGCTTGGGGTGGGTTTCTTTCTGCCACCGGCTTTGCTTCTGTTATTCGGGTTTTAAGGGCAGGGTTTAGGGTTTTGGGTTTAGGGTTTAGGGTTTAGGGCTTGGGGTGGGTTTAGGGTTTAGGGTTTAGGGTTTAGGGAGGCTAGGCTTGGGGGAAGAGGCGTCTTGCCTGTTGTGGGCTTCTGGGAAGCCTCCAGAGCTCATCCGCAGGGTTCTCAGCAGCCAGAAATCGTCAAGGCGGGACCTATAAAGTCCCTCCGGCGTAGCTACGATCAGGCCTATGAATGTTATTTAGGGTTTAGGGTTTAGGGTTTAGGGTTTAGGGTTTAGGGTTTAGGGTTTAGGGTTTAGGGTTTAGGGTTTAGGGTTTAGGGTTTAGGGTTTAGGGTTTAGGGTTTAGGGTTTATATCACGTCAGCTGCCCCTAAACCCTCAACCCTAGACCCGAAACCCTCAGGGGTGCTTCGGGTTCAGGGTTTGGAGGGTTTTATTACAAACAGAGAATCGCAGTCCCTGAAATAAAGTGACACGCGTACTTTGGCGATGCGTCCTTCTGCCGAGAACCGATGGGAGGTGCAGAGCCCCGCACGACCAGGCAGGAACCATGTTTAGGCTCAGGGTTTAGGGTCTAGGGTTTAGGGTTTAGGGTTTAGGGTTTAGGGTTTAGGGTTTAGGGTTTAGGGTTTAGAGTTTAGGGTTTCGGCTTTCGGGCTTAGGCTTTGGGGTTGTTTTCGGGCAGGTTTAGGGTGTAGAGTCTCTGATTTGCAAGAAAATATGACCTGAATGCTTGATGCCGTGCAACCCTGAACCCTAAAGTCCTCCAGGTCTCCTACGCTATCCCGCCTTAAAGGCCTCAGAAAACCCCTCTCGCCCTTGAAGCCCGCTGATAGGTTCTGAGTGGGGGGGGTCGGGGTGTGGAGGGTGCGGCTGGTCGAACCACCAAGCCGGTCGCGCGTTCCTACAAACTGGCTCAGGTCCGCTTCTGGAGAGCCTCTGGTCCACCGGGAAGGGAGGGGCCTTGGCGACAACTTGGGGGGGGGGGGGGTTTAGGGGTTTGAGGGGGGGGTTGGGTTGGGTTGTGGGTTTGGAAGAAGTTTTTGGGGGATTTGGGGGGGACCAGGAAGTTCACAGGGCTTGGGTTTTGGGTTGCGTTTTCGATGGAGTTCCTGCCCTCGCCGAGCAGAAGCCCTGGGACTGATCCCACAAGCTGTAGCAGCTGTAAACTGGAAACCCCCTGAACTCCCGAACTCCGAAACTCATAAACCCTCAAATTTCATTGGCCTAGAGAACCTCCTACGTCCCCCTTTATCCCCATCAACCCTGAACGTCGTGTTGACTTTCAGAATCCCACTTAAACCCTACATGCGAATCCCTAAACCCTAAACCCTAAACCCTAAACCCTAAACCCTCTCAGGCGCAGGGCGCAAGTAGAAGAAGTCAGGGTTGAAGCGGTCGCGTAGGAGTCGGGCCTGACGCCTCCTGAATTTCACAGGACCTTCAGGGGTTTGGGGGGGGGGGGGGGTTTGGGGTTTAGGGTTTATAGGGCTTATAGGGTTTATAGGGTTTATAGGGTTTATAGGGTTTATAGGGTTTATAGGGTTATAGGGTTTAGGGTTTAGGGTTACCGAAATCTCGGAGCCCACATGGGAGGTGGGAGGCGGTGGAGGTTAGCCCCACATACCTTACGAGCCCTGAGGCCGGAAGCAGGGAAGTAGGCCCTATACAACCCTTCAAGGAATGATTTAAAGCGTGCCGAATTTCTTGCGTTCCTACGAAGGGCCCTAAACCCTAAACCCTAAACCCTGAACCGTAAACCCTTCACCCTAAACCCTAAACCCTAAACCCAAAACCCTAAACCCTAAACCCTGCGCTGAGGGGCTAGCTGCTCTGCCACGTGGTCCTCCGGCTTCGTGGGGGGCCAGGCTGCAGACCTCACCACGGCGTGTAGCTTGGAGGGTTTAGGGTTTAGGGTTTAGGGTTTAGGGCTTAGGGTTTAGGGTTTAGGGTTTAGGGTTTAGGGTTTAGGGTTTAGGGTTTAGGGTTTAGGGTTTAGGGTTTAGGGTTTAGGGTTCGAGCTTGGGCTGAAGAAGTTGCAGGGTGAGATGTGTGGTTTCGGGCTTCCGCTTAGGTTCGGTCAGAACGCTTCGAAAATTGGGCGAGGGGCGATGCTTGGGCTTGGGGTTTGGTCTTGGGTTTAGGGTTTAGGGTTTAGGGTTTAGGGTTTAAGGAAAGTTCTTGGCTGCGCGGCTTTTTCTCCCCCTAAACAGCCCCGCACCCTCAACCCCTCAAAACCCTAAGGCCTAAACCCCTAGACCCCCAAGGCCTAAACCCTGACCCGGCCCTAAACCCTAAACCCTAAACCCTAAACCCTGAACCCTAAACCCTAAACCCTGAACCCGAAACCCCACTGCGAAGAAGAAAGCCACAAGCTGACCGACCAATGCATCCAGGGGCTGTCAAAATCAGCTTCAGGGTTTCGAGGTTGTTTCGGTGTTTGGGGGTTTTGGTGCTTAGGGGTTTTGGTGTTTGGGGGTTGTGGGTGTTTAGGGTTTTCGGAGTTGGTTGGGGTTTTGGGGCTTTAGGGTTGGGAGGTTTGGGGGGTTTGGCGGTTTGGGGTTGTGGGGGTTTGGGGTTGAAGGGGCAAGGGTTTTCGAGTGTCAGGGTTTAGGGCGGCTTGATGCATGCAGCGTTGGAGAGTTTACCCCTTGACTTCAGATCCCACGGGCTGCGGTTTAGCTGGGCTGAGGGTTGAGGAGATTTCTTGTAGTTCTACATCTGGATGAGGAGCCCCCACCCCCCCCATACATGTTGACAGTACTCGGTAAAGATTGTCCCAAAGGGGGGTCAGAGCTCAGAGAACCGCCCTCTGACATGGGTTCCGGATTGTATGATCCTTTGAGCCCCTGGCGGCGAAAATGCAAAACCCTGACCCCCAAATAAAACCCTAAACCCGACAGGCTCCCTAAACCCTAAACCCTAAACCCTAAACCCTAAACCCTAAACCCTAAACCCTAAACCCTAAACCCTAAACCCTAAACCCTAAACCCTGCTCCCTCTGACACCCAAAGACCACGTCTCAGCCAAGACCGCGGCTCGTCCTTGTATGCCCGCAGCCTACGGACCTTGCTTGCATGGCATGCCTTCCCCCCCGCACCTCATTCCCCCCCTGTGGTTCATGGTGGGTTTAGAGTTTCGGGTTTCGGGTTTAGGGTTTAGGGTTTCGAGTTTAGGGTTTAGGGTTTAGGGTTCAGGGTTGAGGGTTTTAGGGTTTTAGGGTTTTAGGGTTTTAGGGTTTTAGGGTTTTAGGGTTTTAGGGTTTTAGGGTTTTAGGGTTTTAGGGTTTTAGGGTTTTAGGGTTTTAGGGTTTTAGGGTTTTAGGGTTTTAGGGTTTTAGGGTTGTAGGGTTTTAGGGTTTTAGGGTTTAAGGGTTTAGGGTTTAGCCCCCCTCCCTCTCTCCTGTGGTTCATGGTGGGCTTGCAGTTAGGTTGGGGCGCCGGAAGGCAGCGGGACACTCCTCCACTTGACGTTGAGAAAGGTTTGCGGCTTGGTAGGGTGTTCTAGGGTTTCCTGCGTTTCTGAGGTTTCTAGGGCTGCTGGGGCTTCGAGGGTTTCTAGGGCTTCTAGGGTTCATCGGGCTTGCAGTATAGGGTTTCTAGGGCTGAGGGGCTCGACTCGAACCCCCGAAATTCGAAGCCTCGAAAGCCTTCGAGGCTCTGAGCTGATGGCGTGCCGCCCGTTCATGGTGTTAGGGTTTAGGGGTCTAGGGTTTTAGGGTTTAGGGTTTGGGGTTAAGAGTTCAGGGTTTGGGGTTTAGGGTTTAGGGTGTGGGTGGCACAGGGTGTAGTGTTTCGGGCCCAGGGATCGGGATTTCGGAAGCTTAGGGCCCAGGTTTGAACTTGGGGCAACAAACGGCTCCCTTCAAGCGCGCGGCCTTCACCTCGTCTCCAGTGTAGGTGCGATTCTGCAGGGTAGAGGAGGCTGTTTGAGGCTTCCATTTTGACGGGTTGATTGGTTTCCGCTTTAAGGCTTCTGCCCCAAGACCCTGAACCTCCAAACCCACCGCCGGGGCTTCAGGTAGAGTATGGCGACTATAAAGCCCTAGGGGCCCAAATCTTCACAGATGACAGGCCGTCTCTCTCTCATCCTTAAGGCAACCGTGCCTCCTGCCCCTACGGCCCCATACCTCGTTAAGGTTCGGGTCTGGGTTGCGGCCCTCACAAGTACTTTTCGATCGCTTCTGTGAGCCGGCCTCTTGTGAGTCTCAGCTAGGGCGAGCCTAGGCATGGCGACTAAGAGCCCTAAATAAAGAAGCTAGGGCGCCTCCACCAACGCCAAAGCCTGGCTGTTCAAGGCCGGTGGCGAGAGGCTGCTGGGGGTGGGGCTGCGGGCTCTTGAGAGCTGAGGGCTCTCGCTGGGGTCATGGGAGTCAGTGACCCCTGCGCTGCTATCAAAAAACGAGCCGACTCTTCCGTGCCAGAGGTTTCCCTTGCGGTGGGGCCCACCTGGTTCTGCTCAAACGAAGAGATGGCCGCCATCACCTGGCTTACCCGGGTTTGCAACTTCGAAGCGGAGCACTTGACTTGTGACTGGCTGAACCCCCCCCCCCCCCAACAAAAAAAAAAAACACCAAAAATGGCCTTAAACCCCCGCAGCCTCGACCCACTAAACCCCCAAACCCCCCCCCCCCCCCCCCCCCCCCCCCCCCCCCCCCCCCCCCGCACCTCGGGCAGAGACGGGTTGGCGGGCTGTAGAGCTGACTTCAGCGCGAGCCACTGCGCGCTGCGGTCGTCAAAGCTGGAAAGGGTGGCGGCTTCCGGGCTTTGAGGCTACGGGGTTCGATTCTGGGGTTCACTGATTTGGCTCGGGATTGTTGGCGAGACCCGATGGTGCAACTAGAAGGAGCCGACAGAAGGATCAAGCTCAGAGAGCATACCCCAGAGTGAGGCGCCCTGACGCCTCTCAAAGGCCCGGCGAAAAATAAACCAGAACCCCCTTGATTCAGGGGCCTCATTCCTGCCAACACCCCCCCCGACCCCTGCGCCCCCCTAAACCCTAAACCCTAAACCCTAAACCCTAAACCCTAAACCCTAAACCCTAATTCGACGAACCCTAAACCCTAAACCCTAAACCCTGAACCCTAATTCGATGCCCTGTTGCGTCTTTTTGTTGGGCCGCCAGCGCCTTTGGCTCCTCTCGGTTCCAACTCCCCTTTGGGGAATGGAGGGCACTTGGCCAGGGATGTTTCTTGAGGGAGGATGCCACCTCGAGGCCTCCGCCGCAGTGGCAAAAACACCTCGGAAACAAAGAGTTAAAAACATCGGGAGCCCTAAACCCTAAACCCTAAACCCTTAACCCTTAACCCTTAACCCTCACAAAGGCCAGGGCCCAGGTGATCAAACAATAGCGTGGGCCATCAGACTGCACGTCGAACTTCACGTGTAGCAAACCCTAAACCCTAAACCCAAGCCCTAAACCTAAACCACCCTAAACCCTAAACCGTGATGCTGGATCGATAGAAGTCCGCCGCGGGCTGGGGATTAACTCAGTTTATATGGGTTTAGGGAGTTTAGGGAGTTTAGGGTTTAGGGAGTTTAGAGTTCAGAGTTCAGAGTTCAGGTTTAGGGTTTGGGATTTAAGGCTTAAGGTCAGAGACATAGGGATTGGGGCCCACAGAAAAGTCACCTCTCTTCCCAAGTCAAGCGCGCAACCCTGGAGGGACGCTCAGCTCTCCCCCCCGGGAATCCGGGCCCTTAGGCGCGTTTCTGCGCTGACTTCCGGGAGACAGTGGGTTCTAGGGGAAGTTCTGGGGTTCTGAGAGGCTCTAAGGGTTCTAAGTGTTCGAATTTCAAGAGGATCACAGAAGACCCTGTTCCGGAGCCCGGTGGAAAAGCAGGCGGCCACGCATCGTGAACCTCTGTAGCTTCATTGCCACAAGGTCCTGCAACTCCTGGCTTCTTCCTCTTCCGGGTACCCCGGGTATCCCGACTGTCGGAGCCTGTTACCAGGAGCCCCTCTTGAGGGCCTCCTCCGCAAGACCTGCATCTTCCGGGAGTGGCATCGTGAGGCCAGAATCCGCTTCTGTTGTGGTAACGCGTGGGGATAGGCCGTGCACATGCAGATACTCGAGGCCACCGTGAGGGCCGGTCCTCCGAGTCATCCAGGGGAACGTTTAGGGGGGTGCTTGGGGGTTCTCTCGCCGGCGGCCATCGAGCAGCTTTAAAACACCATTGTGGGGAAAACGCGCCCACCGTCAACTCGACCCAGGAGTAACCTAGAAATAAGAAGGGTGCCCTTTTTTGGTTAAGGGGATTACAAGGGAACTCCAACCCTAAACAAAGGAAATAAGGGCCTACTCCGGGTCCTAGTCAAGCAAGGCTCTCCCTCCTTCTCCTAAGGATCGTGAGGAACGCCCTGACTGAGGGGGCACATCAGAGCGCGTGAGTTGGGCAGCTGAGCTACTAGTGTTTTCTGCTCGGGGTCTAAAGATTCTTACTTGCAATACGAGAACCCTCGGGCAGTGTAGGGTCATTGTTCCGATCGTTCTTGAGGGTCTGACGCACGAAGGCTCGTGAAGAAGCGACTGTGGGTTCAGGGCTTGGGGATGGTCTAGGGCCCGAGGGTGCAGGATCTACATGGCATTGGTGGAGGCTCTGGGAGACTTCGTGTCTCGCCACGGCAATGTCGGAATTAAACAAGAACATCCACTAGGACCTACGAATACGCTGTGCCCACGCGATCAAACACCAGCGTGGGCCGTCAGATTGCTGCACATCGAGATCGCGTGTCCCTAGGAACCCGCGTTGCAGGATCGATAGAAGTCCTCCGCAAGGCTCAGGAGCCAAGGCTCGTGAAGAAGCGCCTGTTGCCAGCATGGTATGCTTTCCTCACGACCAGGAAGGCCACAAAGCAGCCAGCGGCAAAGATCACCGATCCCAGCGTCTCATCTCTGTCAACAAACGACAGCTCAGTGTAGAGATGCCATGCTACGATGGCCAGCAATGGAGGTCCCGTGAGCACGATCGCCAGCACGTCTCGCAAGAGGTCTATACATTTCCACTGACTCTTTCGTTGGAGGCAGCGTGCGAAGAACAACCCAAAGCTTGCGATCAATGGCAGGCACCAAAGCCAAAAGGCAATGCCTCTAATAACCATAAATGGGACCCAATGTTGGGCATTCTCCGATGTCTGGTGCGCTGCCACAAAGTCCAATACAGGCCACCAGAGGGGAATGAAGCATCCAAGCATCCATGAGTATGGAAATGCATCATACCCAAGCTGTTGCTGCAGCGCCCGGGCTACCACAGACCGCACGGATTCGTCAAACTCTTTCTCGGACCCGAACCAGCTGGTCACACATTGGCGAACAATCTCTCTGTCACACACGGCTATGGGCTGGCCGCTGATGGGGTGGATGTGGTTCACGCTACAACACCAGCACACGGCGTTTTGTAGTTGAAAGTGTTGTACCTGGTGCTGAATAACCTCCAGTGACCGATAGTAGTGGCGAAAACTGCGAATCAAGACCATGCCCACGCCAGCAATGAAAGCGAGGAACACCGACCACAGCACAAACACGTTCGAGAATGGGTTGAACACAGCGAAGATGCCCACTGCAAACGAAGCAAAACTTACCACACTCGAAATAACACCCAGCTGTATGGGCTTAACCTGCACGAGCGCAGCTTTGCCTGTAACAGCTTCTGGATGGGCTTTGAGGAACGCGGCGATTTCGAACCTGGGTTGGACATGGGAAGTCAATGGGAGTCTTGTGAAGTTGCATCTTCTATCAGTTCTGTCAGTTTTATAGGCTCAGATGGGGATGAGGGCCCACAGCACTTGAAGACGTTTTCCTACTCAGCCCCGGGAACAAGCACCAAAGCCGCTCTGCGTACGTCTCGTCCCAAAGGACTAGCAGGCATTTGGACCGCTTGAGAATCGCTCCGATGTTGAGGATCCCTTCAGACTTCATGCGTGGGTCGAACTGATTGATGCATAGCCTGTCAACAAAAATCGACCCCCTCGCTCTCCAAGCTGTCAAGGTCAACAGTGCCATGACCAGGCCAGCAGAACTGCACCACCAGGACCACGTCTCATCAAGCTTGGCGAAGCCAGGCAAGAAGTTGAACTGCCAAAGCACCATCATGAGCAAGGCACCGACAGTTCCAGCAACACAGGCGGGCAGCCCGTTCTTTAGAATCATCAGGATGCAGACTTTCTGCCAGGCTACTACCTGCCAGCTATGACTCAAGAACTCGTCATAGTATTCTGTGACACGGCTGAGATGGAAGAAATCTCGCTGTTTACTGGCCCAGAAGACACGCCCAAACCAAGCCACGACTTGATGCACTGGAGCTGCCCGCAGTATCTCTGGCCGAGTTGGCTCCATCCTCTCGATGAGATCGACGAGCAGCGCAAGTCTTGACTTTTCCTGGTCTACGGGGCCAGACCTTTCTGGAGGACCGCTTTCTGCCTCATCTGGTACATCCTCTTCCAAGTCAATGTCGTCATCAAAGTCATCGCTCAGCTCAGCGACAGCATGGTGCTCAACGTGATGGTTATCGTCGGCACTCCTGAGATGTGATCCGGTACCTATGGCACAACCACAAGGTGCCATCTCTTGATCCTAGCGCGTGAAACGCATCCCTTGGATACAAAGAACACTAAACCAGAATCACCGAGAATCCCCTCCGACGATGCCAGAGATGTGCTCATGCTTCCATGGCAGCACGCCGGTCAGCTCCCCTTTTTGCATATCAAGGATAAGCTACACTCTCTTTCAATCTCTGCTAACAGCTTCCCATGGTGGATTCATAACAAATTCAGCTTGGTCTCGCATTCATGCTCTGCCATGAGTAGGTCACTGCCATGAACGAAATGCCTCGAAATTGACATACACCCACTGGGCCTTTCGCAGACAAGGGCTGGCACAGCTGCCCAGCACAGCGACACCTACTACGAACACACGTATGCCAAGAAAAAACAAGCATATCAGTAGTGCCACGACAATGACAATGACAATGACAACGACAACGACACTGACACTGAGAGGTTCTGATGCGAAATTCCCAGCCACACAAAGATCATGTAGAGGCTGCACAGGCTATGGCTACAGATTGGCGGCAGCGTACGGCAGGCAGCGCGATGGAAGAGCATTAGTGGGTTGAGGGGTTTAGGGTTTAGGGTTTAGGGTTCAGGGTTTAGGGTTTAGGGTTTAGGGTTTAGGTTTAGGGTGCTGGGCTATTTAGGGTCTAGGGGACTCGCTCCTGCTTTTGTCCACCGCTGCATGAGGCGTAGGCGCCCATATCCGTCCAGACTGACCGGAATCGATGAGGCACGCCAGGTACTGGAGGTTCAGGTACTTAGTAACCCAATTGGGGTTTAGGGTTTAGGGTTTAGGGTTTAGGGTTTAGGGTTTAGGGTTTAGGGTTTAGGGTTTAGGGTTTAGGGTTTAGGGTTTAGGGTTTGGGTTTCGGGATAACCCTATTAGGGTACTTAAGGGGCTTATAAGTGCGTGATAACACTTAGAAATTGCTTACTGAGTACCCTGAACCTCCATGTACCGGGAGTGTAGAGGGGCTAAGGCTCTTGAAGCCCGGAACCCTAAACCCTAACTAAGCCCTGACTCTACAGCCCAAAGCCACAACCACCCTCTTAGACTGGGGTTTGGGGTGTAGGGCTTAGGGATTAGGATCTAGGGTGAAGATTTGAGGGTTTGGGCTTTGGGTTAAGGGTCTAGACATTTAGGTTTCACTTTAACCCTCAGCTGGTCCCTGGCTCACCGCTTCAACTCGTTCATTTTCACTTCCGGCTCAGTCTGGCCCTCCTTGAGCTCGTAGGTGTAGAGGACGACCTTGTCGGGTTTAGGGTTTAGGGCTTCGGGTTTAGGGTTTAGGGCTTAGGGTTCAGGGTTTAGGGTTTAGGGTTTAGGGTTTAGGGTTTAGGGGTTAGGGGTTAGGGTTCAGGATGTAAGAATGGGGAGCTCTGGGTGTCGGGTGGTTCGGGAGAGCTTTCGAGGCACGCCAAAGGAGCCCTTGGGGGTTTTCGGTGCTGAAGGTGTGCGGCTAAGGGTGCAGGAGGCCACTCTCCACAAGAGGGGTTTAGGGTTTAGGGTTTAGGGTTCAGGGTTTAGGGTTTAGGGTTTGGGGTTTGGGGTTTAGGGTTTAGGGTTTAGGGTTTAGGGTTTAGGGTTTAGGGTTTAGGGTTTAGGGTTTGGGGTTTGGGGTTTGGGGTTTGGGGTTTGGGGTTTAGGGTTTAGGGTTTAGGGTTTAGGGTTTGGGGAGGGACAAGCCCCTCAAACCCGTGAGCCACAAAGGTAGGTACCCGAGCAACCGGAGGGAAGAATGCCCCTTGCTTTTCGAAGAATTTTCTTTGAAAAGGAACAAAAACCCTGAACCCTAAACCCGAAACCCTGAACCCTAAACACCCCCACACCCCACCCCCCCCCCCCCCCAAAAAAAAAAAAAAAGTAAAGAAGGGTCCCAGCAAGAACAACGAGACCGATGTGTGTTTTCCACCTCTCAAGGCCAGCGCAGTAGGTTTTTGAGGGCTCTGGCCAGACCCGGGGTTAACTCGATTCAGATTTTGGGGAGTTTAGGGAGCTTAGGGGTTAGGGAGTTCAGAATTCGATGTGGGGATTGGGGCCCACAGAACCGCAACCTCTCTCCCGAAGTCAAGGCGCAACCCTGGAGGGACGCTCAGCTCTCCCCCCCGGGAATCCGGGCCCTTAGGCGCGTTTCTGCGCTGACTTCGGGGAGACATTGGGTTCTAGGGGAAGTTCTGGGGTTCTGAGAGGCCTCTAAGGGTTCTAAGGGTTCGAACTTCAAGAGGATCACATAAGACCCTGCCAGAGCCCGGTGGAAAAGGCAGCCACGCATCGGAGATCTAAACCTAAGGAGCTTCAATGCCACGGGTCCCGCAACTCCGGACTTCGATAACAGGACGCCGCCAGTCCCGGCCTTCCTCTTTCGGGTTTAGGGTTTAGGGTTTAGGGTTTAGGGTTTAGGGTTTAGGGTTTAGGGTTTAGGGTTTAGGGTTTAGGGTTTAGGGTATCGGAGCCCTCTTGTTTCCAGGAGCCCCAAGAGGGCCCCCCCCCCCCAAGTGCTACTCTAATCTTCCAGGATTGGCCGCGTCGGCCGGGATCCGCTTCCCTTGTGGGAGTGCGTGGAAACAACCCCGTGCACATGCAGATACTCGAGGCCACCGTGAGGGCCGGTCCTCTTAGGCATTCAGGGGAGCGTTTAGGGGATGTTTAGGGGTTCACTCGCCGGCGGCCATCGAGAAGCTTTAAAACACCGTCGTTGGGGAAAACACGCCCCCTACCATAAAGCAAGGCTCTCCCTCCTTCTCCTGAGGATCGTGAGGAACGCCCTGAGGGGGGCCACATCAGAGCGCGTGAGTCGAGCAGCTGAGCTAGAACTGTTAGGCTCAGGGCCGAAATTTTAAACCCTACGCCCTAAACCCTAAACCCTAAACCCTGAACCCTAAACCCTAAACCGCGGGAGTGTAGGGTCATTGTTTCAGATCCTTCTTGAGGGTCTCACGCGCGAAGTCTCGCGAAGAAGCGACTGCGGGTTCAGGGCTCAGCACGGAGTTCAGAATTCAGGGTTTAGGGTTTAGGGCCCTAGGGTTTAGGGTTGAGGGTTTAGGGTTTAGGGTTTAGGGTTTAGGGTTTAGGGTTTAGGGTTTAGGGTTTAGGGTTTGGGATCATGGCATGGTTGAGGCTCTGGGAGACTGCGTGTCTCGCCACGGCAATGTCGGAATTAAACAAGAACATCCACTAGGACCTACGAATACGCTGTGCCCATGCGATCAAACACCAGCGTGGGCCGTCAGATTGCTGCACATCGAGATCGCGTGTCCCTAGGAACCCGCGTTGCAGGATCGATAGAAGTCCTCCGCAGGCTCAGGCACCAAGGCTCGTGAAGAAGCGCCTGTTGCCAAAATGGTATGCTTTCCTGACGACAAGGAAGGCTACAAAGCAGCCGGCGGCAAAGATCACCGATCCCAGCGTCTCATCTCTCTCAAAAAACGTCAGCTCGGTATAGAGAAACCATGCTACGGCCGCAAGCAACACGGGCGCAACGAGCACGAGTGCTAGCAGGTCTCTGAAAGGGTCTAGACATTTCCACCGGCTCTCTTGCCGGAAGCAGCGTGCGAAGAAAAGCCCACAGGTTCCAATCATCGGGATCACCCAAAACCAAAAGGCAAAGAACCTGATCACAAAGTATGGAACCAAAAATCGGATCTCCTCAGTTGCTTGGTAAACTGCAACAAAGTCAATGAACGGCCACCAGACGGGAAGGAAGCATCCAAGCATCCATGAGTATGGAAATGCATCATACCCAAGCTGTTGCTGCAGCGCCCGGGCTACCACAGACCGCACGGATTCGTCAAACTCTTTCTCGGACCCGAACCAGCTGGTCACACATTGGCGAACAATCTCTCTGTCACACACGGCTATGGGCTGGCCGCTGACGGGGTGGATGTGGTTCACGCTACAACACCAGCACACGGCGTTTTGGAGCTGAAAGTGTTGCACCTGGTGCTGAATAACCTCCAGTGACCTATAGTAGTGGCGAAAACAGCGAACCAAGAACATGCCCTCGGCAGCAAGGTATGCCATGAACACCGACCAAATCACAAACACATTTTCGAACGGATTGAACACGGCGAAAATGCCTGCTCCAAGTGCGCCAACGCTTGCGGCGCTCGAAATAACACACAGCTGCATGGGTATGACCTGCACGAGCGCAGATTTGCCTGCAACAGCTTCCGGATGGGCTTTGAGGAACGCGGCGATTTCGAACCTGGGGTTGTTTTCAGGGAGTCCTATGAAAAACTGCATGTTCTAAAAGCTTTGTAGGGTCAGATGGGGATGAGGGCCCACAGATCTTGAAGACGATTTCCTAATCAGCCCTGGGAACAAGCACCAAAGCCGCTCTGCGTACGTCTCGTCAAAAAGGACGAGAAGGGAATGGGACCGTTTGAGAATCGCTCCGATGTTGAGGATCCCTTCAGACTTCATGCGTGGGTCAAACTGATTGATGCATAGCCTGTCAACAAAAATCGACCCCCTCGCTCTCCAAGCTGTGAAGGTCAACAGTGCCATGAACAAACCAGCAGAACTACACCAGCAGGACCACGTCGTGCCAAGCTTGGCGAAGCCAGGTAAGAAGTTGAACTGCCAAAGCACCATCATGAGCAAGGCACCGACAGTTCCAAGAATATAGGCGGGCAACCCGTTCTTTAGGATCATCAGGAGCAACACTTTCTGCCAGGCTGCTACCTGCCAGCTATGACTCAAGAACTCGTCATAGGATTCTGTGACACGGCTGAGATGGAAGAAATCTCGATTTTTACGGGCCCAGAAGACACGCCCAAACCAAGCCACGACTTGATGCACTGGAGCTGCCCGCAGTATCTCTGGCCGAGTTGGCTCCATCCTGTCGATGAGATCGACGAGCAGTGCAAGCCTTGACTTTTCCTGGTCTACGGGGCCAGACCTTTCTGGAGGACCGCTTTCTGCCTCATCTGGTACATCATCTTCCAAGTCAACGTCGTCAAAGTCATCGCTCAGCTCAGCGATAACATGGTGCTCGATGTGATGGTTGTCGTCGGCACTCCTCAGATGTCATCTGTAGATCCTAGCGCGTGAATCGTTTCCCTTGGAAACAAAGAAAACACTAAACTAGAATCACCGAGAATCCTCTCCGACGATGTCAGAGATGTGCTCATGCTTCCATGGCAGCGCTGAGCACAACCGGACCAGGGCCTGTCTGGACAAGAATAGGCAGAGATGCGGCTTGACATTCTACGGATTCTACGGGCTTCTTTTTGAAAATGTTGAGGATGCTTCTTGCCTGCGCCGTGTGGCTGAGCTTTTGATCCTCCCTGCGCTCGCGTCTCAGCAGGTAGCTTGGAGGCTCCATGGAGGCCCCTAAACCCTAAACACTAAACCCTAAACCCTAAACCCTAAATTCGTGGAGTCATGGAGGCCTTCGGAACTCTGAGTGCCTGGCAGATTTCTCCTGGACGGCCATGAGCATGAAGGAGGGCCTTTGGCTCCATGGGGCTCGGGCCTCCCTCTGAAACCCATGGGCTGACTGAAGGATAGGTAGATGCAACACCTGACTTCTCATGTGATTGTGGCGTGCTCTCTTGCAGACGCTATGCAACCTCACTCTGCTGTACAGCTCCTGCACGGGTGTTTCTTTCGTGTAAGATCTGAAACCGAAGAGTCCAAACCCAAACCGACCGAACGCCTTCCACCCCGCCGGGGGCGAGGCGTGATATCGAACTCTGCCAAGGCATTGCCTTTCTGTAGGGCTTGATGTCGTTAAGTTCTCGGGATTCAAGGTTCCGGCCTTCGCTTTGCCTAAAGCGCCCCCGCCCCCCCCCCCCCCCCCCCCCCCCCCCCCCCCCCCCCCAAAAAAAATCAACACATATATATATATATATATGTATAGATACATATTATTATCATTATTATTATTGTTATCATTACTATTCTTTTGATTATTATAGTTTTTTGTTAACTAAATAAATAAAATATGCGCATGATGAGAATAACCGTTATGATTATGTTTAATACAGATATAGTTATCCGCCGACCCCTGCTTTAGCGGGGGAGGCGTCAGTGAAGACCCATTTGCCCTCATGCCCAAACCCCCCCGCCCTCACCCCCTCGACCTCACCCTTACCCTCTTAGGGGCTCCAGCGCATGCCCCCCCACCTCCCCCCTAACCTTTTACTTGGAAATGAAGTGTTTTTAGGGGCTCCAATGCATGCCCGGACCCCCCCCGCCCCCCTCCGCCCACCCCGCCCACCCCGCCCACTGCCCCCCCACCTCCCCCTTCTCACCCCTTCGCCTCTGCCCCCAACCTTGGCCCCTGCCCCCCCCACCCCCCCGCCCTCACCCCTTACCCCCCACCTCACCCCTACCCCTGACCTTTTACTTGGAAATGAAGTGTGTCAGGGGTTTAGGGCATGCCCGGACCCCTACCCCCCACCTCACCCCTACCCCTTGCCTTTTGCTTGGAAATGAAGTTTTTGAGGGGCTGCAGTGCATGCCCGGACCCCCCCCGCCCCCCCCCGCCCACCCCGCCCACCCCGCCCCGCCCCGCCTTCACCCCTTCACCTCTGCCCCCAACCCCCCCCACCCCCCCGCCATCACCGCTTACCCCCCACCTCACCCCGGTTCGGCTCTCCTGGTTAAGGGGGTTGAGGGTTTAGTAGTTTGGGGTTTAAGGGTTCAGGGTTTCGAGTTTAAGGTGTGAGGTTTAGGGTTTAAGGTTGCGCGCCAACTCCCTGCGCGTGAAGACTCAATGTTTCGCCCCCCCTGAACTCTAGAACCTATGGATATATGTAAGCGCAATGTAGGGGGTGTTTGCGTAAACCCTAGGGCCTCCTGTCGGGGTCGGCGGCATTGGCGGTAGCCATTAAATAAGTATAGGTATCATGGTATCATTATAAACAAAAATCTTCAGGCCCAAAAGCCCCCAAAACACCCCTCTAAGCCTCAACCCCAAACTCTCCAACGACCCAAGGGTCGAATCAGGCAAGCGAAGACATACTACAGAACAAGGTACACCAGGAAGCCATAGGCCGAGCCAACGCAGGACCCCCGAGGCTCTGACCCGCCAAGACCCTTGAGCCTTAGGGCAAACCCTAAACCCTAAACCCGAAAACCTAAACCCTAAACAATAAACCCTAAACCCTAAACCCTAAACCCTAAACCTTAAACCCTAAACCCTAAACCCTAAACCCTAAACCCTAAACCCTAAACCCTAACCCTAAACCCTACCCCCTTGAGGCCCCCCCCCGTTGGGACACCGGGCAGGCTCCCGTGACCGAGCCGGGGTTAATGATGAACTTGCCACCCAGCTCCGTGATGCTGCTCCTGAGGATTCAGAGCTTCAGACCCCAGAAAGAAACTCAACCCCTCAACCTAAGTTTAGGGTTTAGGGTTTAGGGTTTAGGGTTTAGGGTTTAGGGTTTAGGGTTTAGGGTTTAGGGTTTAGGGTTTAGGGTAACCCCTACAGCCCTTTGCAATATATCCGGGGAACCCTAACCCCCCCCCCCCCCCCCCCACCAAAAAGAAACTGTAACCCCTTAGCCCTGTAACACCTGAAAGCTATTACCCCCAACTCCCCCCCTCTCCCATCAAAAAATTTAGGACTACTGACGATGGTTGAGGGGTTGGAGGTTGAAACCTAAATCCTGAACCCTAAACTCCATAAACCCTGCAACCCTGAAACCCAAACCCTAAACCCGAAAACCCTGAAACCCTGAGACCCTAAAACCCTAAAACCCCAAAGCCCTCAAACAGGAAAATTCTCAATAGCCCTCGAAGCCCTAAACAAACCCAAGCGCGGTCCTGTAACCCTAAACCCTAAACCCTAAACCCTAAACCCTAAACCCTAAACCCTAAACCCTCAGCCTAGAAGCCCTAAACCCAAGCGCGGTCCTGTGCGTATGTCCAGTGACCAGGATGTCGACGCCCAGTCGCCCGGCGAACTTGACCAAGGAGTTGGAATCACCTTACCGGTAGGGTTTAGGGCCTAGGGTTTAGGGTTTAGGGTTTAGGGTTTCGGGTTCGGGGTTCGGGGTTCGGGGTTCGGGGTTCGGGGTTTAGGGTCTAGGGTTTAGGGTTTGGGGTTTGGGGTTTGGGGTCCCCAAGACCCTGAGCCGTCAGATCCGAAGATCCGAGAAAAGAAAGCATCCCAAGGCCCTAAACCCCAAGACTTGTAAAGACCCGCAAAAAAGGCTCCATGTTTGAGAGGCTTAGGGTTTAGGGCCTAGGGCCGAGGGTGGGTTTAGCGTTCAGGAACCCAAAAAGGACCCGTAAAAGGACCCTTCGACCCGAAACCCTAAGCCCTAAACCCTAGGCCCTATTTAGAAAAAACATCCCAAGGCCCTAAACTGCTGAGACCCGTAAAAAGACCTGTAAAAGTCCCGTGAGAAGACCCTGAGACCACCGGGCCCCTGACCCCAAGGTACCACCTGATGGCCGTGGACCACGCCGACTTTGAAGTCGCCGACGGAGGTCACCTTCACGTTCCGGCAGGACTTCCGCAGGCCCATGGAGGTTTAGGGTTGAGGGTTCAGGGTTTAGGGTTCAGGGTTTAGGGTTTAGGGTTTAGGGTTTAGGGTTCAGGGTTCAGGGTTTAGGGTTTAGGGTTTAGGGTTTAGGGTTCAGGGTTTAGGGTTCAGGGTTCAGGGTTTAGGGTTTAGGGTTCAGGGTTCAGGGTTCAGGGTTCAGGGTTGAGGGTTGAGGGTGTAGGGTGTAGGGTTTAGGGTTTAGGGTTTAGGGTGTAGGGTTTAGGATGTAGGGGTTTAGGGTTTAGCGTTTAGGGTTTAGGGATTAGGGTTAGGGACGAGGACTAAGGTGTTGTAGGGTTGAGGCTTTGCTCGCCTCGCCATTCAAGTTCCACCTGCGCCTACACCTTCGCCATACGCATCCTTTGCAGACTCAGGCTGCTTGGACATATCCTTCCAGACCTGACTCGCATGAGTTGTTTGCAACATCTCACACCTTGATCGCCTCAGGCTTCGGTACGGGCTGACATTGGCAATCCACCATCCGCAGTGACATACCCAAAGAAGTACACAACTCCGGCGGCCAACCCCTCAATTGTGACCATAAATTCTTCTCACTTGTGACTGTTTTTCTTTCCCACTTGTGACTATAAAATCTTCTCACTTATGACTTTTTCAGCTCACTTGCGACTATAAATTCGAAACAACGCAGCTCCCGCTCGAGAGAGGTCAAAAACTCACTTGCGTCCGTTTTTTGGGGGGTGGCTCACTTGTGACTATTTTGTGGTCACAAGTGAGTCTTGATTTTGGGCAAATAGTGCAAGTGAGCGGGGGGTGTTGTTTAGCAAGAGGGGTGGAAAGGACCTGCTCCCCGACAACACCGGGGAGTGCTGGGGTGGGGGGGTGCTTGATAATAGCGTGTTGCACGTGCTGCTCAACAACAGCAAGGTGTGGTGAGGTGGGGGGGGGGGGGCTTGGAAATTAGCGTGTTCCATGTGCTCCCCAACAACTGGGGGGGGGAAAGGACGTGCTCCGCACAGCAGCCTTTGTTCCGCGTGCTGCCAAGAAGAGTGGGGTGGCTTGGAGGGGTTGATCATAGCGCGTCCTACACATGCTCCCCACAGGGGGTGGGGAGGAGGGGTTGATAACAGCGCGAGTTCCACGTTCTGCCCAACAACAGGGGAAGGAGTCCCTTGAGACTGAGCCCAGAACCCCTTTGAAAAAAAAAAACTGTTTGGACACGCTCAACGTCAAGACCCTATCAAACCCTAGCCAACATGAAGGGAGACAAAAGGGATACAAGGCAAGACACTGGGGATGGAAAACCCGGCACCCCCGGTCCCAACAGGAAGGGAGACTAAGGGAGACAAGCGGAGACAACGCACTCGGCAAGCCCAGCACGACCATCCAAGGGGAAAGCCGACAAAGGGAGCACAACAGAAATAAGGACACAACAAAATAAAGATTAACGTGCTAGCAGCTGCTAGCAAAAAACGCTGTGTTTTGCAGTGTTTCGAGCCTCTGTACGCAAAAAAAAGTCACAAGTGAGAAGCAGCTTTTTTCAAAAAGTCACAAGCGAGAAACAAGAACAAGTCACAAGCGAGAACAAGAAAAGTCACAAGCGAGCAAAGATCCACTCCGGCCGTATGGCGTGGGTAACACGCTGAAATGTGATCAAGTGAACCCCGTACCACAGGATAGAGAATGCTGGCGAAGTCTTCTTACCCAGCCCACGAGTTATTCCGTGAGTTTAGCTCCCGAGTTTGATGGGCAAAGGGGGCTTTCGGGGTTACTTCAAGCATGGCACGCAGGTCTCGGGGAAGCTGAAGTCGTGATCGGCATCGCCACACACGATATGACAGTCCTGCACTGAGTTGGAGTGGGCTTTTTGTAGCACAGGACTCAGGGGACAGGGCTTTCGGTTGTAAACCCTAAACCCTAAACCCTGAACACTAAACCCTAAACCCTATTCCCCCCGCACATGCAAGGCTTGCAAGGCTTTCCGGGTTTAGCACAACAGGCGCAAGAGACTTCCTAAAAACAGTGGCCTTTTTCGAGCTGGCTCGGGGCACCCCTTGGGTGCGCACATCTCAGCGCGGCGGGTGTCTGCCTCGCTACTCTAGGGGCCTTCATCATTAGAACAATAAGGTCTTGGTGGGTTGTTCTTGTATGATTAGAAAGGGACCATAAGGGAATATGATTAGCAAGGCTATGACAATAGAACTATAAAGGGACGAAAAGGATATTACCTCAGAGGCGCCTCGCCGGCGATCATGCGCAGCTGCTCGGCGACGGACTGGGAACCAACCTCAGCATGTCTTGGGGTTTAGGGTTTAGGGTTTGGGTTTAGGGTTTAGGGTTTAGGTTTAGGGTTTAGGGTTTAGGGTTTAGGGATCAGGGTTTGCGGGCCTCTAAGGGCTGTGGGCTACTAGCTGAGCCTCCACAAGCCAAAGCCCCCAAAGCCCGAAAAATCCTAAATCAAGCCTCACCCGAAAGCCGTACCAAGCCGAGGCTCTAAATCGGGACTACAGCTTGCAGGAAGTAGGGAATTCGGAACCTTGTCGGAACCTTGCAGCTCTCACCGGGTCATGTAGGGAACCCGGCTTGCCCTCCTTGTCTAGAATCCTCAACCCCAAGCCCAACACCCGAAGCGTCTCTGCCAAGCTCCGAGCATTCCCAGTGCAGAGCACCATGCCGATCCTGGTTTGGGGTTTGGGGGGTTGAACCCTAAACCCTAAACCCCAAACCGTCAGGGTTTAGAGCTGTTAGGGTTCCAGGGGGAGGGGGGGGGGGGAGGGGGGAAGGTTGGGGTGTAGACGGACATCCTCGCACCCCAAGCCGATAAAACCCTCGACACATGGCTTCGGGCTTTGAGAGCAACAGCCGACAAAAAAAATGAACAACACAAAAAGCCTAGAAACCCAAAAGCCCCCTGAATAACCCTTAAAAACCCCAAACCCCAAAAAATCCCAACAAACCCTTAAAACCCCTTTAACGACCTTAACAAAACCCTTAAACCCCGCGAAAAACCCTAGAAAACTCTCTAAGAACAACCGAGCCGGGGCACTTGTCGGTGTTGAGCAGCTCCTTGAAGCAGGAGGGCACGTCCGCCTTCCTGGCGATTCAACCCTTCAACCCGTGTGCTTGCAGCTTCGGCTTTCGGGTTTAGTGGTCAGGGTTGAGGGCTTAGGGTTTGGGGTCCGGGGTTTAGGGCTTAGGGTTTCGGCTTTAGGCTTTAGGGGTCAGGAGGGTTTCCTGAGTTTCCTGTACGCCCTTCAACCTGTGGGGTTTTAAGGGTTTGGGGGAGCAACTTAGGGTTTAGGGTTTAGGGTCTAGGCTTTGGGGTTTAAGGTTTAGTGTTTAGGGTCTAGGGTTTGGGGTTTAGCGTTTAGGGGTTTAGGGTTTGGGGCTTAGGGCTTAGGGTTTAGGAGGGTTGTAAGAGCAGCAAACCGTGTGGCTGAGCTAAAGGCCTCAACCCTTGAAGCCTCTGAAGTCAAGCGGGCCCCACCTCTGCGGCGTGTGGTAGTCGCCGATGAGGAGCACCTGAAGAGGGGGGGGGGTAGGGTTTAGGGTTTGGGGTTTAAGTAGGGTTAAGGGTGGGGTTTTGCGTTTAGGGTTTAGGGTTTAGCCGAAACCCCATATTCTCATAAATCTCTGGGGTGGCCTCTGAAGTAGTGGGGTGGGATTTTGTTGGGGCCCCTCTTAGAATTGAGCTTCTCTTAGGGGTTGTATAGCACAGGGTTCTACAGGGTGATAGAGCCCATAGAACTTCAAAAACATTGAGGACCCCAGTGAAACTACCCACCCTAAACCCTAAACCCTAAACCCTGAACCCTGAACCCTAAACCCTAAACCCTAAACCCTCAACCGGCACTGAGAGCCTGGCGAGCCGGCCGAACTCGGTCATCTTGGCGTCAATGCAGGCGAACGGGCCACAGAGTTTCCTATCAAAGAACCCTAAACCCTAAACCCTAAACCCTAAGCCCTACAAAGCTTCTCCGGTGTCAGTGCCGAGCTCCATGTCCTTCGAGAATCTCCTTACATCTTGCAGGCAGATTTGCGTGTTATCCTTGGAGCCAGACGCGGCCACCCAACACAGGGACCTAAATCATTGCCGAGACGATCCCCCTAATCTCGAAACCCTCTCGTTGATGTAAAGTTACCCCAGTTACCTGTTGGCAACTGCCATGCCGCTATGCCGGCATGGATGGTCTGTTGGGAGGGTTCGGGGTCTGGGCTTAGGCCATGTTTCGGGGAGGGAGGGGGGGGGGGGGGGGGGGGCGGGTTCGATATATAAAGTTCAGAGCTCAGAGGCTCTTGGGCGCCACGCTAGCCTGCAAGACCCCTGGAAGATGACGGCTGTTTTTTCTTCTGGCTTCCCGCGATCACAGCTTGATCGGCTTGGGCGGGTGCTCACGCACCACTCGCTGGAACTCCTGGGCCACACGGCAGCTCCCTTAACCCCGAACCCTGCAACTGACAAGAGAAGTCACATCCCAACAAGGGAAGATGCAACCCTAAACCCTAAACCCTCAAGCCTAAACCCTAAACCCTAAACCCTCAGCCTAAACCCTAAAGCCCAAACCCTCAGCCTAAACCCTAAACCCTTAACCCCAAACCCTAATGATACAGCTGCCCGCCCACCTCTCCATCCAGCGTCTCATGCTGGATGAGCACCTCGCAAGTTGGCTGATGCTTATGAGTTTTAGCTGGTTTGGTTCGGTTTCTATTTGGGTTGGGGCTTTATGGATGGTCCCGTAGGTGGGTGGCAGAACCCCAACACCCTTTATCCTGGACCCTCTAGCCTCACACAGGATTTTCGACATAGCTGTTGGGCGCGCTTGAGTTTTCCCTAGTGGCTTCCTTGTGTTTGCTTGCTTTGTTCTCTTGGCGGCCAGCACTGGCTCATACAAAGCTTACAAACCCGAAGCCCTGCGGTCAGGGTTCACTTTCTGCATCCTAGTCGCTGGGCCTTCTTCCTAAAAGCTTCCCTGCGTACGGTTGGGCCTCGCCCTGAACCCTGACCAGCCCACTCCGAGAAGGCTCTGCATGGGTGCGCAGCAATGATAAACGAGGCATGACGACCAGATAGAAACCAATAGGAAGCCGAATCCCTACTGGTTTCCGAAAGTAATTCCTATAATCAGTATTATAGCATTTTGAGTGCAAAAAAAAACTCAACCAAAACCCAATCAAACAGGCCCTGAAATTGAAGCAATCCCCAAACCCTAAACCCTAAACCCTAAACCCTAAACCCTAAACCCTAAACCCCGAACGCCCGGACCTCGGCGACTGCTGAGTGAAGCTCGCGATTCTTTGCAATGGCGGTGGCGGCAAGGAGGAGGGCCTTGAGCTTCAGGGCCAGGGTTTCGGGTGGTTTAGGGTTTTAGGGTCTAGGGTTTAGGTTTAGGGTTTAGGGTTTACGGTTTAGGGTTTAGGGTTTAGGGTTTAGGGTTTAGGGTTTAGGGTTTAGGGTTTAGGGTTTAGGGTTTAGGGTTTAGGAATTAGGGTTTAGGGTTTAGGGTTTAGGGGTCTGTCGGTTTGGCGGTTTGGGGGTTGGGGGTTTTGGGCTCAGGGTTTAGGATTTAGGGTTTCGTTTCAGGTTTGGGGAACACCCCCCCCCCCCCCCCCCCGAAACCAAAAGACGAACAACGCCCGCAGACCTGCCAGCATTCTCGGCCCTGACTCCCTCTCAATCCCGAACCCCAAGTCCTAAACCCTGAACCCTAAACCCCAAACCCCAAACCCTAAACCCTAAACCCCAAACCCTAAACCCGAGACCCAGAACCACGAGCCCTAAACCCCAGAGCCCCGTGGGCTGCACCTTGTCAAGGAGCTCCTTGACCTGCCATCGCGATGTCTGAGGGTTTAGGGTTTAGGGTCTAGGGTTTAGGGTCTAGGGTCTAGGGTCTAGGGTCTAGGGTTTAGGGTTTAGGGTTTAGGGTTTAGGGTTTAGGGTTTAGGGTTTAGGGTTTAGGGTTTAGGGTTTAGGGTTTAGGGTTTAGGGTTTAGGGGCCTAACCCCTAACCCCTTAAACCTTCAACCCTAAACCCAGACCCAGGAGGTATCCATACAATCTCCACAGCCGCCCGAAGCCACAGGCCTAGCAGATCGCACGAGTCCCTAAACCTACCCGAAAACCAGGGTTTAAGGTACACCCTAAACCCTAAACCCTAGACCCTAAACCCTAAACACTCAACCCTAAACCGTAAACCCGAAACCCTGAACACGAAACCCTGCCCCTGTAACTTGAAATTATTAAGAAAAATCTAAAAACCCCGGACCTGAACCCTTAATAATTTCAATAAACCCTAAACCCACAGGCTCTTGGGCTCCCCAGGATCCCCCGATAAAGGCCAGTGGCGGGGCCTCTGCATCCACTTCGGAAAGGAGGGCCTCAGGCAGAGCTGGGTTGTCATAGGAGGGGTTAGGACCCAGACCCTAAAGCGGCCTCCATCCTACAACAGGGATGGGGAGGGCGGGGGAGAGAGGGGGAGTCCTGAGGTTTCGGGGCGAGTTTAGCAGCGAAAGCAACATCGCGCAACACCTTTGCAAGAAGCAAGAACCCAAAAGCACGTGTCTTTACAAGCTTTATGGTTTATACAGCGTGCAGCGTTCGTTTCTGGGCTTTTAAGTTTTAGGCATTGGGTTTAACCCTCAACCCTTCAAAAGAAAACGAGAGTTTAGCGATATTGGCTTTGAGGGTTTAAAGTTGCTTGGGGCTCTCACCGCACCCGAAGTGTCTAGGACCCTACACACTGAAGCCAAGAGGGGCAGGCCAGACCGCCCCCTCCCCTAACACCAACCTCCCCTGCAAACCTGAAGGGTGAGGGAGGCCTGCGAAGGCTGGATCCCCCCTGTCTGAAGTGCTCTTGGCCCAACGGCCTTGCGACGAGGGGGGAGGCGCTAGGTCTGGGGTCTTAGAGGGTTTGGGGGGGACAGCACTGGCTGCTGACAGAACCTGCTCCGGAGGGGTCCGAGACTTGCTCCACTCCGCACACCCAAACCCAAAACGACGCAAGAAGAACCTCTCGAGGAGCTGTCCGGAGAGATTCAGATTCAGCAGTTTTCTATCAGGGAACTCCTGGCCCCCCCCAACCCTCCTTTCCGACAAAAGACCAAGGAGGGGCACCCGAACCCCTCAAAAGAAACGACCGGTTTTGAAAGCAGCCCGACAAGCCAAGCTGAGGACTCAAAAACCAGAGCCCCCTCCCCTGCCCCCCCCCCCCCAATCCCTAAACCCTAAACCCTAAACCCTAAAACCCTAAACCCTAAACCCTAAAACCCCCCCCCAGCCTTCGATAGGCCCCCGGAGGCCACCATCTCCATGGCCAGGCGCGTGGCCTCCACTTCTCCGCTGCGCGCGGAATTTAGAACAATTCTCCACTCTCAGGCTTCGAAGGACAACCCTAAACCCTAAACCCTAAACTTAAACCCTAAACCCTAAACCCTAAACCCTAAACCCTAAACCCTAAACCCTAAACCCTAAACCCTAAACCCTAAACCCTAAACCCTAAACCCTAAACTTCTTCTCTTCTACAAGCCTTCGAGCTTTTTGTTGGGGGGGGGGGTTTTGGGAGGGGGTTTTGGGGAGGCTCCTCTAGAGGCACTTCCCGCGGCCTTGGGGGCGCCCTTCTTGAAGGGATTCGCTGGGCCCCCGGCATCATCGATGTCCGCCTGCGCACCCATGGTGGCCTCGCGCCAAAAATGAGGGGCGAGGGTTTGGCGTTTAACCTGTTTTTTGTACCTGTTTCTTTCAGGGCTTAGGGTCTGGGGCTTGGGACTTACGGTTTGTTTAGCCAAAAAAAGCGTGATATCTTCGTACTGTGCAGAAGTGCCGAAGAGAGCCAACACAAGGGTATTCGAAACAACAGAAATCCCAACTCCTGACGTCGCCGAAAAAAAGAAGCCCCTAGCGCAGCTAAACCCCACAACCCCAAAACGCTCCGAAACAAACAAACTCTCAATGGCGTTCTGATGGCCTAAAGGCCTCAGAACCTGGATCCCACAAACAACTCCCTGCCTGCCCCTTGCCCAGCAGCAACTCCTGCTGCTCAGGACGTTCACGTTTTGGGTTCATAGGGTTTACACAGGGTTGCGGCCAGGGGCGGGGGGGCGGTTCGCAGAGGAGCGCTTGGCTCGAGCGATTTTGGATGCCTTTGCAGTGGTCGTGGTGCTTTGGGAGGTCAGAGTAGGTTAAGACTAAACACATCCTGGTGTTCAGAGCACCTGAGGCAGGGTTTGAGATATGGCTTGGGGCAGAACACCATAACTCAGGAGGTCCACAAACAAGGCAGCAGGCGAAGCCAATTTCCGAGAGCAGCGACGTGCCAGGATGGAGCAACGAGCACTCGTAAACCCCCCTTAAGCCCTGACAGCAACTCATCCCAGACCCCTAAACCCTAAACTTAGCAGCCCAAAATCCCTGAAGGCCCTTAAACCCGCTGGGTCCGAGGTGTAGACCTTAGAATCAATGGGTTCAGAGAACTGTCCTTTCAGAGGGAAGAGCCCGCCCCCCAAGAGTCTTCGGGCCTCAGCGGCGCGTCCACCCATGTCAACGGCCAGCATGGCCAACAGGATCCGGCGGGAGTGTGGGAGGCGGCTTGCCTTGCGAAAACATCTCTCCTGTGCTTTTTTTTAAATTGCATATGGGGTCTCCGAATATAGGGGATTCTATTCTATTGAGGTTTGTTAAGGGGTACCCCTATGTTGGGAGATGACCATATCGAGGAAACAGGACCAAGAGAATTGGACGGGAGCCCCCTTGAAGGTCACGCGCGCTCTGCATCGAGAAACCCCGACCAGCAAAAAATGAGCACCAGCAGCTCTTTTTTCCACATCGCTCCGGGCCCAGAATGGCTCGGGCCAGCGCAGAAGAAGCGAAAGAGCGATCCGTTGTCTTCTCTAACACAGGGTCCCTTCTTGTCGTGCTGATGAAAGCTACAAGGCGGACCCGCTTACTTAGGGCGGTAAGCCAAAATAAGAGCACTTCTTATTTAGGGTACCCCAAGGCCCCCAAGCAGGGACCCTAGATTAGAGAACTCATCATTCAGAGCGATCCCCTACCTCACGTAGTTGGAACTTGAAACCGAGCTGGGCCCAACTTTGAGGCTCAGAGACTTCAGCGGCTCTTCCATATCAACCCGGAGACAACGGAAAGTAGCGAGTTCAAGGGGAGATAGTCATGACGATGTTGATGAGAATCATGACGATGATGGTAGTGACAATGGCTAGGAGAATGGCAGTGTCCATGATGTCTGATGGCATGAGATATGAAGATATGAAGGAGCATGAAGGAAACCAAGCAAACACGCTACAATGGCGCTGGCATTCAGCGCCCCTTTCTTCGCTCGGCTCACTGGAACTCACCTGGTTTCACCTCCTCCATTTGGAGACCTCGACGTTCGACTTGGTCGGATACAGCGCCTTCTTTGGTGGGCGCCTGGAGGTAGCGGAAGATGCGGAGTGAGTAGGGAACCAGGATGATCAGCTGCGGCACCAGCTGCACGGCCAGACGGTAGGGAAGGGTGAGGCCCGGGTGGGTCCAGAAGTAATGTGCGTCGTGAGCAGAAAACAGCAGCACCGCAGCCTCAGCTTGCGAAAACCATGCCCTTACCCTCAGCAGTTTGAACTGCACAGAGCAGAAGAAAGCCCCCATTCAACGAGGGACTGTCCATTGAGAACCCATGAGTCTTAGCTCCCGTTTTGGATTTACCAGAGTGCAGTCAAGCTTGGCGTTGACCTCTTTCGATGTTATCCTGGTTTAGGGTTTAGGGTTTAGGGTTTACGGTTTAGGGTTTAGGGTTTAGGGTTTAGGGTTTAGGGTTTAGGGTTACATTCTTCCAAGGAGGCCCTCTATGCAGGGACAGACCCATCTTCGAGTCAAGGCACTGCAGTCTTGCTCATGGTCCAAACCGCGTTCATAACGTGATGCTCCTTGTAGTCCAGGGAGCCTTCGCGGTACCACTAGGTGAGCACATAGAAGTTCGAGCCGTCGTACAAGGGAAACACGGAGCCAATCACGACCATCTCCACAAGCATATCCTAGATAACTCACAAAAACGAGGGTTTATGAGGGGAGCCTCTGGCCCCCCTAAACCCTAAACCCTAAACCCTACACCCTAAACCCTAAACCCTAAACCCTAAACCCTCCTAAACCACAAGGGCGCCCTCTTTGAATCCTAGCATCCCAGTGGTAGCTGCTCCACGGCGTGGTCACGGTCATCTCTCCTAGGAGAGCAAAGGAGCCGTATCATGCGCCTATGTGGGGTTTAGGGTGTAGGGTTTAGGGTTTAGGGTTTAGGGTTTAGGGTTTAGGGTTTAGGGTTTAGGGTTCAGCGGTCTAGGGTTTAGGGTTTAGGGCGTCTCGCCGCGCAGCGGCAGTAAGTGCCATGTGCAAATGGCGCCCCTACACACCCAGGGGGTGTGGGGGGCGGCATGTCACGCGAAGGCATCCGTTGTCAATGTAATCCAACAATTTCATTGGAGCTGGGTTCTTTCTCCCCACCCGCCACCACCCAAACCACTGCCTTTTAAGGTTTAGGGCTGTCGCTCTCAATTGCCACCATTGCTTTCCCTACAAAGGTGTGGTGAAGGTAGCGGGGCAGGGGGTCAGGCAAGGGGAACACAAGAGGGGTGTTCCCACATCAAGGGGAGGATCAGAGAATCCCTGTGTTAATATGGGCGCCACTCTGGTGGCCTAGTGGCAAGGCGAGCCCTAGGGGCTCTCTATTCGACCAGTCTCCAATGGCTCCACCCATTGTCCATCCAGTGAAGGGTATCTTCTGGGTCCAGGCACCCTAGAAAAGGGTGGGTACGGCCTAAGCAGGCCGGGTGGGAATTTAGGGTTTAGGGTTTAGGGTTTAGGGTTTAGGGTTTAGGGTTTAGGGTTTAGGGTTTAGGGTTTAGGGTTTGGGGTTTGGGTTTGGGGTTTGGGGTTTAGGGTTTAGGGTTTAGGGATATATTGTTTAGCTAGATACGTATGGATGTTGGTTGTGTGTTGCTCATCTTGTCACCAACATGAATCATCTAACCCCTCCTCCGCTCCCCCCCCCCCCCCCCCAGCCGGCCCAGGAAAAGCTTCGCTACGTGCCGGAGGGTCTCGGAACATGTACACGTACGCATTGACGTCGGCGGCCAGGGACACGGAGGTGCCGATGAGGAGGAGGATGTGCACAGGACCATGGGCAGAGGCCCGGGACTTCCCATTCACGCCAACCAAGTAGCAGTTCAAAGCACTGGCCACTGTGGAGGCGCCGAAGGCGCTGACAAAGTTCTGCGCAAAGGGTAGGCTGAAAAGCACCTGGGGCTGCCTACGGGCTTGAAGCAGATCCACCGTGCCCCGTAAGCTACCCGGGCATCGTACATCAGAAGATGGTCCCAGCGGGGGAAAGGAAGGGTACGTAGACCTAGTGCAAAGTACTGACACGTGCTCATTCATACCGCCACGCCAGCGTGAGTTGTGAAAGAACGTTCGCAGAAGAACGTGCGGAAGCTTGGGCAAAGTTTGCTACCCATGTCGGCCGGCCGTGTTTCCTAGAACTTACTCATGGCTTGTTCTTCCTACATATCCTAGCATGCCTTCCCGATGCTTATCTCCGCCGAAACGCCGGGTGCTTCTCAAAGACCGTCGGGTTGCTGAACCACGAGTGACGGATCTGAAGTGCCCAACCTCCACCAATGCACAACAAGGCGATCCATTTGAGCACCCCGCCGCGCTTCACGTGCCCGGGCGTTCCTTTCGTAGCTAGGAACTGCCACAGCATCAGCGCAACGTACGAGAACCCAATGACGACGTGCGTGTAGGCCAGGGTGTTGTAGAAGCCATCTTGAAGAGGATAGCGCGAGAAAGGCGTCACCCCATCTTCGCTGGCCGAAGGAGGCCAGGACTGGGACGATGACTCATGGTATCGGCTCCACGACATGGCGCGAGATGAGTTGAGCAACTGAACCTGTGGAGAGCTGTGGAGATCGTCGGTCGCCTTGAGCCGCTGGATACTGGGGGTAAAAAAAGGGTGAAGCCGCTTCACAAAACATGTTCGCTTTCTCCCCAGGCAACCGGGCTTGGTGTTAGAGCCGAGGGCCTCTTCGGGATCGGCGAACTGGGTCACCCCGCCGGTCTGGCCTTTCCGCACAGGTGCCAGGGGTTAGGGGGCTCGAACCCCCCGACCGCCGCAACCCTAAGCTTCTGGGACTTTGAGTTAGAGTATACCTTGCCTATTTAGGCTAATAATGCCACCGCCAACCCATTAGATGATCATTCCTATACTCCCCCCTACACTTCACCGATAAATCACTACTACTTCCCCCATTAGATGATCATTCCTAGGACCCCCACCGATATATCACTACTACTACCCCATTATCAACACAATTCTAGGAATAACCATAACCCCATCTATTATCTCTAAGGTGGCATTATTGGCCTAAATAGGCAAGGGGGTTCTCGTAGAATTTGGTTCAGGGTTTAGGGTTAAGGGTTTTAACTACATTGTAATTATAATATATACCTGCTTATGTATTATAATTACACTATAACTATGTTGGTGAGGAGACTATCTAGTTTGAATTTTGAACAATCATCTCATTTAAGAACTCTGTTGTTGCTTGTAAATATTCATAATGTAATTGTTTGTCTATTTTTACACGATATTGTAAATGATATACGATCTTAATAAAAATATGATATACTCTTTGATAATAATGAAAATAACCACCTAAAACATCTTTATAATAATTCATTTTCTCCTGATGCCATTGATAGAAGTCAAATGTATCCAGGTTCTCATACATTGTTTTCATTTCAATATGAAACTCAAGTGTATAATCTTTCTTTTGAACATCATTTCGCATTATTTCATGAACTTCATCATATTCTGGGTATTTGTTTAACTTAGTAAAGGGTAATATATAATCATCAAGCAAATTTCTTAACTCACAACATTTATCACAACCATAGTAACCTACGATCTGATTTTTAAAGCTATGTAAGATATCGCATTTGCCTAATAATATTTTCTGTATGTTCTTAACTGGGTTACACTTATCACATCTATTGAAATAATTAAATTTGTGTATCTGATTATACAAATATGTTTCATCATATTCACTCTCACTTTCATATTCACTCTCACTCATTACCACGATAATATATAAGTTGTTATTTCTTTAAGTCATTTTCCTCAGAAATATTATTTTCTTAAGATTTACTGCATCGCGGTTTATTTGACAGATTTATCCAAGCATTCGGAACAAGTCGCAATGTATTTAACATAGTAATAAGAATGCTTACCAGCGTAATAGCAACGCTTAAAACAATCAATATTTTTGTCTTGCTTACAACGATAACACTTCTTAGTAACAATATTACCTGTTTCAGTATATGGATCAAAATCAACTGATATCTTATTTACTTTTATTGTCATTATATTAATAATATACACATTTTCATAATGTGAGATTATGAAAATTTTGAATTCGCAAAGCGATTCATATATTACGAAGTAATATATCAATCCCCTAAGATTTAATGAAACTAATTACGAATTCTTATCATTTCCACACTCTTATGGTGTGCTTATGAATCTGTTCATCACACGGGAGCAATGGGACCTTCTAGATGTCTGGGCAGGGGAAACTTTACACTGTCAAGTTACCATAGAAAATATTTTTTAAATCTTAATCCATCATATTTAAATTATTCTTTAAAATAGTTACATCTTTGTCTATCCTTTCAACATCCTCCTCCACTTTTTCTAACCTCTCTTCTGGGGTAGGCTTTCTGGATCCCCATCCGGTGGTAACCGTATCAACACCTTCATTGTCTTGCGCGTTAGTTTTAAATATTTCATTTTCATCGGGGGTAACACCTCTGCCACCAACTTTCCAAGAACTCCTATCTTCAATGATTGTTTTGCCTTCGGTGTTTATCTTAGTTTCTTTGTGAAAAGTCTTCTTTCTACATTTGCAGGGCAAACAATTCAAACCATCTGTGTTTAGGTGGAAGCCACCTTCGTTAGTTTCTTGATGATTGTCACTCATTAATTCTTCTTAGATTTTTTTAAATACTCAAGAACTGCCTTAAGCAATTCTAAAGAAGCGGTGCAACACCTTTTAAGCTTGGTGTCTTGTATTACAATCTTCTCAATTTCCTCAATCTCCTCTATCGTTTCTAAATACTTATCCATTATATTAAAAGATATTTTTCTCTTATTAGTTAATGAGCGCAGAAATACCCAAAGTGGAACCGATAGACATACCCGAATATAAATATAAAAACAGCAAGTTTGACATGATGCCTAAGCTACCCGCTCGGATGTTATGCGTGGCTTCTTCAACAGGTGGTAAAACAGTATTGATACAGAACTTAATATTAAAAATTTACAGAGGATCCTTTGAGAGAATATACATATTCTCGCCCAGTGTTCATGTGGATGACACATGGTCGGCAGTAAAGAAATACATAAGGGATGTAATGAAGGTGGATGCCGAAAAAGAACAGCTTTATTATGAGGAATACGATCCGGTGGCGCTAAAGAAGATCATAGACACCCAACATAGAGTAATTGATTTTCAGAAGAAGAATAAACAAAAAGATCTGTTTAGCATTCTGTTAGTGGTGGATGATTTCGCCGACGACCCCAAATTTGTAAGATACTCAAGCTTGTTACACGGATTATTTACGAGAGGTCGCCATAATGCCATCTCGTGCATTCTATCCACGCAGAAGTATAATGTATTGGCCCCGATCATTAGATTAAATGCATCTGCTTTGTTTATTTTTAGACTGAAGAATATGAACGAAGTCAATGCATTTTTAGAAGAGAATTCCGCATTGGTGGATAAAAGCACGTTATACGAAATGTATCAGAAAGCCGTGAATTTTGCTCCTTACTCGTTCTTCTACATAAACACCAACGCTAAAGATGTTAGTAATATGTTCTTCATTAACTTTGAACAACGCTTTGAGATAGGTGATTAAATATTATTAATTAAATCAACGAGTAACTGCACAAGTTTATAGCAGGTAGTTTATAATATATTTTATCGCTTTTTGTTTCTTCTAACTTTTCAACTCTTTCAATAACATCTTTCAAAGTATTAAATAACAACATATCTGTTCTTGTTTTTTCATTAATGTCTAACTCTTTTATTTGTTTCATATTTTCAGTAGCAGAAGATCTAGAAGATGTAGAACCCATATAACGAAATTTAGATAAATATTTTTAATCGCTATCATTTTTCATCTTCTTTTTCAACTTCGTTAATTCGCCTTTCAAAGACGTTATTTCTTTTTGCATTTCTTGCACAGCTCCCCACAAGATAACTGTCATTTTATTGTATGCTAAGAGTTTCATACCATCATCATTATAAAAGATTACGTTATCCCATTCAGGGGGCAGTTTAGCATTTTTCACATCGTCGGCTATAAATCCTAGATTGCTCTTTTTGTCTTCGTCCTTGGCAAAATTAAAGGTTTTCGGTTTAATGTATTTAACTACACTATAACAGTCTTTGGTATTCACTTCTTTAATATTCTCTTTTAGTTTAAAATCCGATGTTTCAATCAAGGCGGTGCAGGTTAGAGTTCCTCCAATATCTGCGTTATTTGTTGTAGTAAAGAAACCGTAAACATCAACGCCTGTATTTGTGGCATCTAATCTTGATAAATTGTTATTGCTTAATCTAATAAATCCATCAGTATCTGGATTATTTATTAATACTCGTTGCGACCCTGATACATCAGTGTGTGTTATCTCCAAATTACCTAATAAATTCACCTTTCCGTCTGTCAACTGAATTTCTGGTGTGCTACTTTCCAAGCCTATTGTTAAATTCATTTCTCCCGCCGTGTCTCCATTTCTGATATATAACTTATATTGAGTGTCTAAAACTTCTTTTAATTCGCTACTATTTTGAAACATAAAGCGCCCCCAACTAATAACATCTGCCTCACCAACGATATTACCAATACTATTAAATGTTTGATTATTTGTAACTGCTCTATTAATAGTAATTCCGTTAGTGTCGTTTAGTTGTAATGCTATTGTTCCTGTTGTAGGGTCGGTTGCTCTATTTGATTGTAATGAAAAATTAATTTCGTTAGTTGATATTACGTTTAATGAATTATTAACGTCCGCTCTTTGAAATATTCTACCGGAATTATTAATATAAATATCACTATTAAATGTTGTTATATTTTGAAATGATGATGTGCCACCAAAATTAGCATTGCCTCCCGATACATTTAACTTATTTGATCCTTGGATTACTCCAATACCTAAACTTAAACAATAAACACCATTACCATTTGCTGTATTCAATAAAAGTAAAGAAGAACTGTCATTACTCGTGTTATATGCATTAATATTAAATGAATTAAATCTTATATAACCTTGAGCATTCTTTACCGTTAAAACATTACTGGCGTCTGTTGTATTCTTATAAAGTGTAAGTCCTGAATTATTGGAAATATTAGAAGTGTCGTTTTCATAATTTACAGTGTCTTTAAAATATGTTTGTTTAAATAAGGTTGTCCCTCCTGTTGCATTATTACATTCTATATAAGTATTAGCGTCCGTATCTGTGGATGCTCCTAACATTAATCTCATTGCCTCTTGGTCTGTTCTCAAATCCATTGATATATTTGATTTAGTAGCGTTATTATATCTTTCTATACTTGTATTAGCGTCTGTTAATTCAATACTACCACCGATATTAATATTATTAGTTAGACTAATTCCGTCTGCTGTTAAATTAGACAATGATAAATCATTAGTAATGTTAACATTTCCCGACGGGTTTAATTCTAAATCTACAACACTGTCATCAGATGTAGCATTTGACACAATTTTATTTCCTTGTAAAGTTATATAATTAGTAGCGTTTTTAAACACACTTACTACTTTATCTCCTCCTCCTGTTT